CGTAATGTGATGATACCGCATGTATGGGTATTCTAATAGTTTACAATATCTGTTACAATTTAATGTATAACAAGCGTTGTAAATTATAACAAATTATTTTTCTTGTATAAGATGTATTTATATATCTAATGAAAGTTATTATACACCATATCCATGTTAGGGGTTGAGTTGTATTACATCAATGCTGTTATACCATTTTCATAAAGTCATATGATAATAAATATCATTAATCGCATTATAAATTTGTTATTTAAAAACATTTTAATTTGTTTATTCAAAATATATTTGTGTGTATGTGTGTGGAGCACTTTTGGATATTGATTTATCTTATCAACCTCGAACATTGTGTTCAACAGTAAATACTAATAATAATATCTTCGGAAATAACATATTTGACATATTTAATTTTCGTTTTTTTTTAAATTTTGATTAATGATTTGTTTAGTACAAATATTTTATTTTTATAATTATTAACATAGTAAGTTTATCTGTGAACAAACTAATTATAAATTATAATTAATCACGTGCCACCGTATATAAATTAATATTATTGAATGACCTCTACGGAGAGAATAAAAAAAAAAGAAAATTATTAAAAAAATCTTCCTACTCAAAAAAATTATGATGAGAATATGTACATAATTAATAATAATACATTTACGTTATATAACTATGTTTAAGTAGGCTTCAGATAAACATTTTTATACAACTACAAAACGATTAGAAAATTTACTACTTTGAACGATGGCTCAAAAATCATTTTTTATACGAAATTTTGAGTTTGAACAAACTTGCCATTGGTTTATTATGCAGACTGTTTTCGTGGTTCACTCTATAATGTTAAACCGGATGCGATAGTGGTAGGCACGTCCTTGGGGTAGTCAACAGTATAGACTCGACATCATAAAGCATAAATTAACATTACTTATTTATGTAGAAAAAATATTATTTAAATTCATATTTGTAGAACAACATGATTTTGCCATTGGAGAAATAATACAGATGAGAAGTGCGAGTATTGTTCAATAACATCATAATAAACTTTTTGCCTCTGATTTCTATAAGTTTTGTGCGTTGGAGATTACGTTTTTTGAAGACAGTAAGCTCATTAAAATTCAAAAAACTTTAAAAATCGATAGATTTTTCATATAAATTGACCGACTTATAGTATGCAAATTTCTGTACATATTCATACACTACGAATGATACCCAGCAGCTAAAATTAACTCTGCTCGCTGATAAAATTTAATACCAGACGATTGTCCGAACGCCATAAACACATCTCATAGTACTATAATAGACTATGTTGTTCTTCCCGGTTGCTTATTATAATAGCTGATGTCTAATTGTTTTGTCTACTGCCTACGCTAGTCGTTATCCACTAGTTTTAACGCGGTTTCCGTCTAATCTTAGAAGAAAAAAAATTCTTGATTGATTATATGCTGTATTTTTCGACGTCGCATCAGCACTTATTAATTAATTCTACAAATTATGTGACTCGGGTTCCATTGGAACTAAGTATATTTGTCTGTTATTAGTCCCACCATACTAGCAAATTGCGCCTTTTCTGTTATACTTTGACTAATACACGAAACCGAGAATCAGATCGGTCCAAGTCCATTTTTTAAAAAAATTGAGGTTTTGGTGTTTTTCTATGTAATTTTTTGTCCTGAGTTATTTTACCTGGATGGTTTAACGCGCTAGAATGGATATTTTTTGAGATCTTTTTATACATAAAAAAAATATGATCTAGGTCCGAAAATGTGATCACTGCAAAGAATATAATCCAAGTGTAGGACGTAGAACGTTGGATCTTACAAAGTTATTAATGGAAAGTCAAAAATTCCTCTAGAGCGAAGTAATCCAAGTCCTGAACAATAATATTATTAACGTAACATACACATAGCTAGTATAATTTTTTAGTAGATAAAAAATATCAAATTGTATCTCTTCTTTTTTTTAAAAACAAATTTATTTTAATACGTAAATATTTGATGAAGATATTAAAAAAAAAATGACAGAGATTTCAGTTTTTTGGCTCTCCTGAAAAGCCGACTTGGCTACGGATTCTCAGGTACAAATATCTAATTGTCTTCACTTGTTACTTAGCAACTATGTTTTATCAAAATGTTCAATCATTTACGGTTAGATCGACCTAAATAAAAGTTCAAAAATCAATTATTCCCCGCATTACATTAATGTCACACGAATGAGTGATGTATACAACAATAATATGTAATATTTACAAACCTACAAAAATAATGGATAAATGTCGGTGTGCGTGTGGTACTTTTGGCGGGCACGTCACTCTATATATTTATTTATATTAGTACACAAGTGCAGTACTTAATAAAAAATGCATCTACAGCAAAATATTTTGCATGGCATTTTAAATATTAAGACCGTTATTTGTACGTCATTAGATAAGCATCGATTGCGTTTGTAACGACCGAGATTAGGCAAAACGTGTAGTGTTTTAAATAATCTTAATTAATTGACGCTATAGACAACTATAATAATAATAATAATAATAATAATAATAATAATAATAATAATATATTATTAAGAAAATACGCTGAAGATAATATCATCTTTGTGAATTCGCACAAGTATCTACTCGAATGGCTTCGTAACACAACAGTTAAATAATTTAATGTTCACTATATTCGCGTATACTTAAATAATATTATAACAGTTAGCGGCTGTCTCATACTAGAAAAATACAAAAACCACAAACCTAATAAAAGTTCTATAATAGTATGGGTTATTTTATTAACTTCATAAAAAAAGAATACATTTTTTAACTGGTCAATAACCAGCTCGGAATAATTACTTTTAAAGTTCAAAATTTAGGACGGGAAGGTGAAGTGGAGTATTATTTTTATCTTTACGCATTTCTTAACTTAACTACTTAAGGACCTGATCACACTGAGTCCTGGAATCACACAGTACAATCTGAATGGCTGTATGGTTGCTGACTTGTTGTTAGCTGTGTATGGAAACAAGGTGATTTTTACAGCTACAGCGCAATGCCTTAAGGCTTGAAATGCCATATAAACTGCAATGGTTCGTTTATCAAGAGAAAAACTGTTCATACAAAAATTATAATTATATAAAAAAAACTATTAATATTGATATACACGTCTCAACAATTTAAAAAAAAAAGTATAATTTGTATTAAAAAACTAGTCGGTACTTTATAATATATTAATAGAAAAAGTTTGTAACAATTCAAATTTTTGTTACAAGGATGGTTAGTAAAAAAAAGTTAAAACATTATTATAAGTCTTTTAGAAGTTTAAACGCGAATAAAACGTTATGAGTAATACGAGTGGGAATATTCGATTATTTGATTTGTTAATTTAAACATAAATTAATGAATATGTATTTCTAAGACTTAATCCAGAATCTTCTCTGTTCTCTGAATCTTTGTTTTATCACTGCTATTCAATCCCAAACACTCATTTTGTCCTTCGCACTCATCAATGCCTTGGAATCCTTTGAAAATGCGAGGTGTCGCTAAAGGTAGACGAAAAGCTTGATCAATATTTTTATGGTTAATCTCACTTTTGACTTGCATGCAAGTCTTTAATACACTCGTTTGTGAGTGTATTAAAAAATAATATAGTATGATTAAAAATCAGCTTGGCGTGCTGTAGTTATGCCTTAGATAACACTATTACAATATACGTACTATAGTTATCTATATGTATCAACCTTGACGCTAAATTATAGCACCTATATAGGACTCTAATCATGCAATTTGTTTTGTAAACACGGTTTGTCGACTTTTATCTACACGACGTGAACATTATTGCGTTTCGATCCATGCCATCAGCTGTTGCTGTCTTATTTAATTACAGTAAAATGCGATGCGTTGCATTAGCCACGTTGTCCATAGATACACGTTAAAGTACATCCCCGATAACCGAAACAGTCTTCGACATCATCTGTTTGGACGTTGAGTCCTTGGGCTTTGAACATCACTTTGAAACTAGAGCAAGCACTCTGATTTCCCTTTTTGAATAAGAAGGTTTGGCACGGTTGGGCAATTCATCCCAAAAGCAAACTTCGTTCCAAACAAATTTACGGCTGTCAAAAAAGAAACAGTTGCCTCCCCATAGTCCCTCACGTGGAACATGTCCTCCAGTTAAATATCCAACTATAAGATTGGCAAATAAAATAACACATTTCCGAATTTCTTAAAGTCTATTGTTCTAGAAAGTAGAAACATACTTATTTCATCGAATTAAATTTAACAACATTTATGTACATTGCTGTTTTACGAAAGCGTTAAAGGGGTGAGATTAAAATAATAATCAACCTTAACAAGGGGTTCTAGCTCTCTGAGCTACGCCACACCCTTTATGTTTATACTACAATAATGATTAAACAACTGTTGTGAAAACTAAAATAACTATTGGTGTAACTACAAAATCTAGTCGTCGCGGATGCAGCCAAATTTCCGTTAATGCAACAACATTTTTTTCTATATAATGATATGCTGAAACGAGCTTCAGTTATCACAAGTTCAATTTGTATAAACATTAAAAACAAAATTTAATGGTTATAGTTATTAGATAACATTTAATAATATGTTATAGATCAGGAGAGCGAAATTAAAGGGGGGCTGGGTGAGCAACTCAACCCCCTAAACTTACCCGAGACATAGAAGTTATCGAGCAGAGTGAAGTGCGATAATTCTGTAGGTTTTTATCTCTTTATTACCTAATGCTTGAGTTTAGTGTTATCTTTTTATTTTATTTCTCTATGAACTCTGCATGGAAACAAGTCTCAACAGTTGACATCAATAGGTAAGCGTTTTCATCAATTTAAATCGTTATTAATTACAATTAATTACATAATAAATAAATAACATAAAAAATGGTAATTTTAGTGTATTAAGCATCTTAAATATTATTATTAGTACTCACAAACAACTGAAAACAAAATTACGTAATTTATAATGGAACAATTAAATGTCCATGTTAGACGTATTATTAGAAGTAGTTATCATACGATGAATCGGGTTAATATAAATGTAATTTTAACCATAACTAGTTCTGAAAGTAATGAATAATATTATATCACGGCCTACCGCCAAAACTCCCAGTTTGTTTTAATCATTATGATATTATATATTTATAAATAATAATGAATACAAAACACTTTATATTTTAGATTTTGGCGACAAGGATATAACACATAGGAACTGTATATTCATAAAGGGTGTAATTTAAACAATTATTTTGGTCACCAGTAATTAAAATGCTTAAAATTATAATATTATTTCTACAAGCGAAAATAAATAAAAAGTGATACATTCGAAAATATTAAATAATCTGAATGTGATCCTAATTAAAAAAAAAAAAAATTATAATTTATAACTGTTAACCCTGGTATATGAGCTGGTCAATCTAACTGTATCTATATGGAATGACTTGACTAAAACTGGAGTTCACAATGTCATAAAATTTTTACCAAAACGTTTTTTGTTGTCTTGTTACATAGTACATTGACAGGTTGAGTTTGAAGTACATTATATCAATATCAAGAAGTAGACCTTGTATCAGATTAATTTGCAATTTTGCTAATAAATAAAGTCTGGTTTATTGTGTAGAGTTCCAATAATTATTGCAGGAAATGTGCGTTCATTTAACAAGTTAAAATTGGTGAAGAACTGTTGATGATCTTATGTCTTATGACTCATATTTTATGGTAAGATCTATTTAAAAAAAAAAAATTATCGTTTAATAACTTTTTGTAACTAATGCATTACTTGTTTGTGTAAATATAGCTACCCTAATGTAATTTTATTGTTGGATGTTATATATTACACAGGGTGATCGATTTATCGCAAGACATTTATTTTCTCTTAAAATAATTGCAGTTTTGTAGTTATTCTTTTTAAAACATTTTTATCAATATTAGACAATATTAAATTTTGTATTATTCTTTTCGAAGCTCTGTCAATTTTTAAAGCTTAAATATTAACTTCTATATTTAATAAACTTTTTAAACTAAGACAAATTTTCTGAAAACGTTGCCTGGTCGATAATCAAATTTTTTAGAAAATGATTCTTAATTTAAAAGTTAATTAAATATATACGTTACCATTTAAGTTGCTAAAGTCGACAGAACTCTGAAATAAACCTACTAGAAAAGGTAAATATTTAATAATATTGTAATATTAAAAAAAAAAAAACATAAATACAAATGTTTTCAAAGTACAAAATTGCGATTATTTTTCAAGAAAATAAATTGCTTACGTTAAATTTATCACCCTGCATAATACTTTTAACATACTCATTGAGAAAATGTTACATTTAAAATAAAATAAATAAAAAATAGATTTAATTAGATACGTGTGTATTTTTTTTTTTTTCGTAAAGTCAGTAGGCAAATGGTCTTGGCAGACCCGTAAGAAAAATGACTTCGCTGAGCACCTGTAATCTGTATAGTAATTAGTAGGGTAGTTTCTAATACACTATTCCTGTGAGAGAAGAAGGTATTTTTGTTTGTTTTTGAAAATTCGTATGCTGTGTATTTATTGAAACTAAAATCGTTTCATTGACGCGTCAAATCTCGTGTAAAAAAATACGAATAGGTAGTCTTTACCATTCCATTATATGCAATCCAATCCGGACCAAGTGATAATTTGAACGTGGCTAGAACAACAATGGTTTTCTCATAGACCTCGTATAATTTATTTTCTGTTAATTTTCAAAAGCGATTAAATAGATATACAAATTAAATAGCATAAAAATGTTTTTTATCGGAGAAATTTAAACTCTGTTTTATGACCTTTAGTGATGCCATGACGGGTACAAGGCTGTACTTGAAGAGAGATGCCCGACTGTCGGAAGTATTTCAATATTTTAGGGTTTAACCAACTTGAATTTTGTTCTTAGTATAATCCCTCCCCAAGTCCAGTAGTATTTTCCACGTCGTGTAGCTAATATATTTAAAAAAACAATACACAATGTTGTACAAGCTTTTGGGCGACCAAAACACTATAGCATGAGACATTTATAATTTGGGGCATATTGTACATGCATGTGTATCAAGTTTGATTATGGGCAACTGGCGCGTGTGCGTCCCACGACCGCCGGGACTACACCTATAAATTGGCCTGGCCATTGGGTAGGGGTTGGTCGGTTGATTGGTCGTCGCCGTCGTCGTCGCCGCCGCCGCCGCCGCCGGTCGCTGCCGCGTGTACATGTGGTACTTGTGTGTATGTATGTGTGCATGTATGTACGTGTGCATGTATGTATGTACGTATGTGTGTGTGTGTGTGTGTGTGTGTGTACCGTGTAATGTAAATGGGGATGGCCCCGGCACATATAAGAGAGCGCCGTGCAAACCGGATCGCACCATATCGGCGGAGAATGTCATAGCAGCGCGTGATACCGAATTATAAAAATTAACAATAACAACAATATTAATAATAAAATATTGTACCTACACATCGGTTATTACTTGTTATCCGTCGTTATCGAGCCGTTCCCGGTCGTGTTCCGTGAGACTCGTCGGGCCGCGTTTGACGGTGGTGTTTGAAGAATTATTACACATATATATATTTTTTTTTTGAAAGTTACGTTAAAAAAAATTGTTTTTTTTTATTATTTATATTATATGAGAATTCATTTTACCGTTTTTTTGCACTCGAGCACCCGTAACTATTGAAATCAATTACCTATAAATTACGGTTTTTGCACTCGAGTCGTCGGCAACATGACCGTCGGTACGGTCGTCCTGGTGTGTGCGGCCGTCGCGCTGCTCGTGCTGCTCGCCAGGAGACGGCTCAAGTTCGTCTCGGCTTTCCGCGACATACCCGGACCGCCGTCGGTACCTTTCTTCGGTAACGCTCTGCAGCTTAACGGTTCGCCGTCCGGTAAGTCTGAATCATTGTTATGTAAAAATTGTAAATAATCATACAAGTTAGAAGGGTCTCCCCCCTATCTTTTTTTTTGAATTTCATACTAATAATTACTATTATATTAATATTATTCTACCTGGTTCTTGACTTGCGGATCGCGTCCTCGATCGCCTTACCGGGTCGATGGCCCTCCCCAAGTGTTTCGATAAAAATCACTCCCTTGTGTGCTCTCACTCGAACCTATCGCGCCACACCGTGCAAATCGAATTACACATTAATATATGTATCTATTATAATACATAATAAGGCATTTCAAGAGAATTGCACTAGTGTCAGGTATCGTCGTAAAGTAATAACATAACAACATTCAATATTATTGTAACAGTGCACTTTTGTCGGACAACGTGAGCTCGTCGAATAACACTGATAACGAGTTCAATAATTATTACCTATTTGCCGGTATCAATTTGTTGGGTGTGTGTGTGCGAATACACAACCGAGGAACTTTGATTGGATCGCTTGGCCCGTTAATTGACTAACCGCACGGTTATTAGGCATTTTTTTTTTATTGTAAATTTCTCGTGTTATTATTATATGCCACTTGTATTATAATACCAGGTAAGTAAGTATAAAAGATATCCGTTTGTACCTAATGTTGGCGAATAAAAACAAATCGACCATTTTATGCTGTAATTATTCAAACGGCAATGTTTTCGGTCCGCAAATATTATGATCTATTTATCCGCATAGCGAATAATATTATTGTTTAGCTTTGCTGCGAGTAACATGCGTATGTGAGTATATATTTTACCTACTTTAGTATAATAATATATTTGACTACTTGGTTCGAAAACAGTAAAAATATATATATATGTTTTTTGATTAATGAATCCACCAAGTCACACAATCACGCTACCCTGCGTCGGTAATTAAAATTAATCTAAAAATATGTATCGGTTAGATATTAAAAAATATATTATACAATCATTGTTAGTATTAAAATAAAATGTACAGTGTGATCAATTAAACGCAAAAAACTTATTTTTCTCGGGAAATACTTACAATTTTGTAGTTTTTCTTTTTGGAAAATTTTTTACTTAAATTGTTTTATAATATTTTATAAAATTACTAAATATTTACCTTATTTAATTTTTTTCAAGGCTCTCTCAACTTTTGAAACTCAAAGTGTAACATAACCTATTAAATTTATATTTTTAATTCAGAATAATTTTCTGAAACTTTTGACTGGTCAATTATCAGTTTGGATAATTACTTTTAAAGTTATTTAAGTTTACATTTTATTGAGGACATGAAAAGGAGTGCGGAAGTGTAATGCGCATACTTCACACTTCCTCCCGTCCTAAATTTTAAACTTTAATAATTATCTAAAACTAGATATAGACCAGTCAACATTTTCAACAAATTATTATTAATCTAAAAAGTTAGATAATATATAAGTTACCATTTTCAAAAGTTTATAGAGCTCTAGATACTGTCTATTGTATATTGTAAAATAACATAAACTCAAGTGTGCCTAAAAATAAAAACTACAAAATTGCAATTGTCTTAAGAGAAAATGAGTGTCTTACGTTAAGTTGATCACTCTGTATACGCTCTACATCACGAAATTCAATTACCTTGGTCATAGACTACTATTTGAAACTCGTTCTGATGGTCTCGTTCAATGTAATTGTTTATTTATAGAACATGTTAAATTTAATGTTTTGCAAATAAATTTCACATTAAACTGCAATATTAAGCACTTTAAACCAATAAATGTGTTGATTTCTCAAAATTATAATTACAATTTCATTCCAAATTTAAATGCGTGATTAACTAATTTTCTTTATTATGACTTTTTATTATTATACTTAACAGTTAATTTAGACGTACAATATTTATTGTAATGACGCTTTGCTAAAAATGTCCGCCTGGAAAAATTCAATTTTACCCTCAAACATACATACATCCATAATTCCACTTTAAAATGTAAGCCGCGCTACCTACTAAAATAATTATATGCTCATGTATTAAACTCAAATATTAACTCAAAAATATTAATAATTAATAATACCGAAATCGTAACGTTTTTCTATATGTATTTGGTTTTCACTGAAAGTTATTGTATGTAATGTTTATATGACAAAAAAAGTACTCGCACAAACTATAAATGAATCAATTATTAGAATTATAATAATAATTATACAAACATCAAAACAAGTAAAAATATTGATTTTATTCAGTTTTGATTGTATGATTTGTTCTTTAAATTTTAATTGCGTTAAACAATTGGAAATGTGTTAATTGTTTAATATTATAATTATTTTCTTCATTAGGTATTAGATGAGGCGACGCTCGGTGGTTTTTGACTTTATTGATTGTTTTGATTTTATTGTCAGAGTAAAAATGTATGAAGTACTGGAAATGTCTACATAGAGTGCGACTATGGATAATGGTATATGTTATTTGTGACGAGATCATATTAGACTCGGCTTGATGACATTATCATTGTTAAATCTAAAGGCGATAAACCGAAGAACTTGCCCTTCCTCCGGTAAAAAAACAATTTAAAGGGATGTTAACAAAATGTTATTGTTAACTCAATCAGTTAGACAGTCAGAGATCCACAACTACGTTTGATCTAAATGATCATACGTATTATAGGTATGTCTAGAAAAACAAACATCAAATCAGCGAGACCTCTGGCTCGTATTGAAATAGTTTTCAATTTTTATTGCAACTATAAGTGATGCTGGGAGCTAGTATAGTTTTCGTCAATGTGGAAACCGGATATTTTATATTAGACTATGTTCTGAAATACACCTAATGTACATTGCATTTATTTTATAATAATACAATGTCGGACCTAAGTTCAAACAAAAACAAACACCTGACGGTGTAATTCGGGAGTCTAACAAAAAACGCACACGTTTATTTAATATTTTGTAAAATAGTATAAACACACTAATGTGATACGATTAGTATTATATTGTCAATATTGATCGACGATAACAGTATTCTTATGTACAAATACCTATATGTTATGATTAACATTACCAACTAATGAGACAACACACGTGGCGTGCTACTTTTGTGAAACGCCATTATGATAAAACATACTCTTAATAAGTTAATTTTGTACACATCTGAATAAAACATATTTTTTCTCTTCTTCAATAGAGATCAAATTATATTTATATTTCTTGTAGAAAATGCATTAATACTATTGAAATACAATTTTTTAGATATTATACAGCTGAAAGTATAAATAGAAATGTAATTAATTCATTAGATATACTATAATATAAAATATGTTTATATGTCAAAAAATTAAATTTAAAAAAAAACTATTGAATTCAAATCTCAAGTAACAAATATAATGTAATTTTTGATAATAAATAGTTAATAATTAATCTTACAAGTACCTAGTTTTTTTTCGTTTTGAATTGTATTTTTCTAAAATAAAAATGATAAAACCCCAGTTTTGCAATTATCTATACAATTTAAGTCACGAGGATTTGACAAACTTAAATCTATTCTTTCGTTTACTAATGTGTCAAAAATCGCTGTGATCCACACTGTATACAAATAATGTAATAGGTGTATTGACCTATTCAGTTATTATGTGGACTATAACTAAACAAACTGTTGCCCCTATACCTATTGTACTTCAATTTAGTCGTGATCGCGGTGATTGGCCTATGGTCGTTTTGCATTGAGTTTGACAATTTTATCAGTCGTAACAGCCTTGTTAGACCTAGTTTAAGTTAAACAGCAGTAGTTTTTGACAAAATATAGCTATATATTCAGGTATGTAGGTATTCCGTTTACCGCATACGATTTCACAGTTTTGACTGATACAATCGTGGATTGTTCTTTGAAATCTCACACGTGTGATGGAAGAACGTGCAAACACGTATTACTTCTTGGCGCTTGCATACCTGTGTGCGGTATTATTATTGTTATTAGATCATTTTCACGCGTTTAAATATTATGTCAGTCGATTTCTGAAACAACAAAATAATATAGATTATATTATGATACCAAAACTTTGAGCGTACAGCACCAACGTCATAACAAAAAAAGTTATCAATATAGTAGCGCGATATTCATATTCACACGAGGCGTTAATATACTGCCAATACTCTATCAGCGATTCTGGCTTTAATTGTTAAGAACGGTCTTATAAGTTACATAACATATTATAATATAGTTAAATAGGTTAGGTTCACTTTACGTATCTATATTTTTAGCTTAACAAGTCTGAAACACCTACCTCACATTGGTCTCACATTAGTCATTGGTTTAATTTCTATCACACTACTTAATTATCGACCTTAATGTTTCACTATATTTTACCTTCTTGTATACTGTTTTAATATAATATAACTAATAACCATCACAACAACGTAATCATTATATTCATTATACTCCCTGACCCCATAGTTATTGTTGTCATACGAAATATATATTTATTAATATTTGCCTTTATGTTATATAAAGGTAGTTCGTATTTTACTCATGCAATAAATAATCACATTTTTGCAATGCCGGTATATTTTTTTATCTGTAAACATTCTATATAGAAATCTGATTTGTAAAACGTATTATGTACTACACCATTCGACATTAAATATTTATTTCAATATATATCTTTAATAAAGCACATGGACGATGCGGGTTTTCTACTGTATTTATCTTTGTTAATTAATTTGATTAGCATCTGTAGAAAATCAACAAGTCACTGACAATTACAACTTAAACGTGATTTGTTTGTGAGATCATTAGCCTGAATTTAGGCATTTCAGCTGAGTATCGCTTAGGGTTCAGACAGAGTAATTTTATGTTGGGTTTTCTTTAAGTTTTATAATCAGGTAGGGGAATCAGCGTATTGTGAACGGTATAAGTATTTCAAGGAAGAAGACTCATTTTCAATTATAAATCTTGGAGTCTAGACATATATATTTTACAGAATTATATCGAGGAATGTTATATAAACCGTGTATTATGTCATTTTTTTTTAAATTACACATTTGTATTTATAATTTTAAATATATATTTTTAAGGATGAACGGTTGTTATAGTTATGTTTTACTCATTATGTAATAATACCATTAAAAAAAAAAAGTTAACTTTTTCACAATCATTCCCTCCTAATACGACAATCCCGGTAACGGCGAGTCTCCTTGGTGCCCCAATAATCATTTATTAGTTTAGTGCTAATCCACTAGTATTGTCTTAAAGATAATTGGTAGCTACTTTTTTAAAAATATTATGCTAATGGATAAAAACGAGCCCGCCCAGAGAGGTGAACTATAGAAGATACACTTATTGGTATATTGTTATTATTATAATTAAAAAAAAAATCGCCAATGGTATTTTTAATTTTCGCGGGTCATCGCATAATATAATGCAAAAGAAAAGCGAAACTCGAGCATTCGTCTACGCGCGTCATCGTCACAATCAATGCGTCATCGCCATCACGTGCATTTATCATATTACCTACCTTTTTTATATTGTCATTATTGCGTTTATAAACACATATAATATTATATTATGTATTTACAGTAGACAGACAAGTAGCAATAAAAAATTGCCACTGATATTTAGACTGGTTGTCTAGACCGATGATTATCCTAATAATGGCGTGCCAAAGTCATCGATGCAAAGTTTCAATAAGCTGCAGTTACTTGTTTATCGGCGATAGATAGATTTTAATTTTTTTTTATTTGTAGCTATAGGTATAGGTTAGGTACACCTAGCCTATAACCTAAGCAAATATGCCTGCTTATTTGGTTACTGCGACAAAACGCGAATTTAATAGTAATTAATATCATTAAGCATAGGAAATCAAGAATTTGAATGTGTTCAATTTATTAATTAAAAAAGAGGAATAGGCGAAAGCTTACTTGTTTTTTTAATTTTATTGTGGAAATTTGAATCAACGTCGTAATACAATTTTAAACATGCATAGGTACATGTTTTTAAAAACTTAAAACCAAACGAAAAATATTAACAACGTTTTAAACTTTAGTTTAAACTTATTTTTTAATTTTTAGTATTGAACGTACTATCATAGATGAAATTAATAAAAAGTAAATGTATTTTTTTGTACTATAACATTGTTTGTACAGTCCTATCATAGTTTTTATACTTTCTTTTAGATATCGACGCTTCTGATTCATACAGGGTGATCCATTTAACGTAAGACAATTATTTTCTCTGAAAATAATTATAATTTTATAATTATATGTTCGTTAATGTTATTTTACAGTATAAAACAATGTTCAAAATTTTATATTTTTTTTAAAACTTTTAAGTTTTTTTAAACTATTAATGTCTTACGTTAAACAGATCACCATATTTAACAAAATATACCATTTTTTTTAATATAGGTATATCATTTTTTTTATATACACCAAGATGATAGTTTGTTTTATTTAGGGAATTTCGTCCCTTTCAAAACTGCCTTGATAGTACTTATCGATAGTCTTTAGCATTTATAAGTTTTGGCCAGTAGAGCCGAGATACTGTATTATAAACACGGATAATTCCAAATTAATTGTTAATTGATATACCTAGTTTTTTTTTAATGCTAATAACTGAGATGACTTTTTTTAATTTTTGATCTGTCAGACACTCGCCTGTTGAGTAGATGTATTCTAGCATTTTACCACCGCTAGTATTGCTAAATAAAAAAATTGATTATTATAATTGCAACTCTGAAGAAGACGCGTCGGGTGGCTGGCATGGGAGGATCGTCTTATAGTAAATGTGAGTTTTTTTTTGTTGTATCAACGTTAACCTTATTAATGGCCAAAAAGTCGGATGTCTGCTGACGATACCACGCACAAAGTGCACTGGTTGATGTAGGTCACTATGTGCAACTCACGACGAATAATAATAATAATAATATAATGCTGTATTATTACAATAATATACTTGTATCGAGTCCGGTCAGACACGGAGAGCTCGTCTAGACTGTCTGACACACTGCCCTTGAGGTGTCAACTTTTTTTTCTTTTTGGCAAATTACGATACTACCTATTTTGGGTATTATCTTCCTCTGTCTGTAAAGACAATAATTAGCATTATGTTATACCTACAACATCTTCTTATCATCCGTACGCTAATGGTATGCGCAGTATAATATACAGGTTATCTCCGTCACCATCGTCGCGTCGTGAGAAAGTGAATGGAAATTTATTACGATTAACATTATAAATAATACAACGACTACGACCGACGTGTTGTGTGTATATCTACTATTATAATACATTATAATGTGCAATGTACACATTATTATACCATGCGGCTGTGTGTTGATATTATGTGCACTGTCAATGTCACGGCTATTGCACAGCGTCACAGCGGTTTTAATAGCATTTCGACCGTCGGACACGATTCCGTTCAGACGAACGACAAATATTTACTTAACACATAATTATTACTATTATAATTTATCTCGTATCTATTATATAGGCCTGTTTTGTTGTGTAGTACGTATTTCGTTTAAAATCGGTCGTTGGCCGCACGCAGTTATTTTAGTTCAAGAGCTATAAAACAAATTATATTACCGTTTTCCTAAAAAAAAAAGTTTGACAACAGATTTTTAAGAAAATTTAATAGTTATAGTCCCACTCTAGATCTACACCCATCTACCATCAGTCTAACTTTTAGATCATAGCCCTTAAACTACACCTTTTTTATTATCTCCATGCATCCATTGCATTCCGGGGAGGAACTTGCCTGGTGGGGCATTACTTCCCCTTAAACTACACCTAAAAAAGTAAATAACAAAAAATTTCTCTTTTTTAAGAAAAGGTTTTTGGAAATTTTTTTATATCTGACCCTCGATATTTTCTAAGTCGCTGAACCGATATTTTAATATAGCCAGTCCATTGATCTGAAATCGTACCTGAAGAGTACCTTATTGGACCAAAAATTAAAAGTAAAATTAAAGTCAATAAAAACACCCAAAAAATTTACATATTTATATACATATTATTTCATATATTCATATACATATTATTTTAAACTGGTAATTACGGAATTTATTTAAAAAAGGTCAAATTAGTTCAAAAGTACTATATACAAACAAAATATCATAATTCCTTTTTCCTAAAGGAGGTGCACCTTTTTCTTTATTGATAAAATCCCTTTTAGTGAAAATAATTCCCGAAAACCTGTGACCTGATTGCATGTGGAAAAAAAACACATAATTATATTATAAGATTTAATTGAAGAAAACATTGTCCAACACTAAAAAAACATTAATATATTTTTTTCAGAGGGCTTTTGTCTTATATTTCTTCGTCTAAATCAATGGCTGTATTTCAATTGTATTGACTTGAAGTTGATTTTACGGCATAAATAGAATATTACATTGACATACTCATCATGTTTACATTAAGATAAGTGATGCAAAACCTCAAAGTCGTATAGACTAGTAGAAATTTCCGCTGTGAAATAATTGTTTTAGCTAAAAAATGTCCCAAATAAAATTATTATTATTTTTGAGCGATCAAACAGCAATCTAAATGTAAGAATTATCGGTTTAAGGTATAATGGTGTAATAAAAAGAAATGACTATTAAAAAAGTACTATAATATTATTGTAACGTGGTCTACCCACCCTTATCATACCTATACGGCCTATGGATCTCGATGCATTTTCTTGATTGAACGAAACCGGTTTCTCGTGTTGCACCGTAGTTTTTTTTTATTGTCAACAACCACCCGGTAAGGGTTATATATTTTGTACTTCTCAACGGGACAAGCATCGACTTACTCATAATATGTTATTGTGTTTACAATTTTACATGATCTTCGGATTTAACAACTAGCAAAAAACCCTAAAAAATAATAAAGTACCGTAGAAAAATTGAACATAACGACTATAACATTATAGTTTATTTTATTATACAATGCATAGTACTACGGCCGCGTGTGATCGGGTCAATGTACGTAAGATATATCTGCGATCGTCGTAACCGTAGTCCTTTGTGTTATGATAATTATTCTAAAATTGTAAGAACGATTTATTTTATTATTTTTATACGGTTTAATATGTTTATTTTTGTGCGTACAAAAAATCGCAGAAAATAACCTTCGTCCGTCGTTGCTATACCTAATATATTGTAATATAAGAGTTTAGTTTTAAAAAATAATCGTTCTGTATGACTATATTTATTATACGTTATACATACACTAGTATACAGTTATAGGTTTTATTGCAGCCTAAATTTAAACAAATCGAGTTTATTAATTATTTTTTATATGTTTGGAAAATTTGTAATGCCTAATCTTAAACATAATGACTAGCCGCTGTTTTGTTATTAAATTATAATTTATAAATATTTCCGTAGTTGGCTCAGGTTAAAGTGGTATTACTCTGGACCAGAGTTTGCAAATCTCAATAAGATAATAATAGATGATTTTCGTAATTTTAATGTTATGTTGTGATGATAGTGCGGACGCATTGATTGAACTATCAATACCATCTAACGATCATTTCTGTCTTTCAGACTTCTTCAGACTCCTGAGGGAATGGCATTTGAAATTTGGCGAGACCTATCAGCTGTGGATTGGACTACGGCCGTTCCTTTCCATTTCGGACGCAGATCAAATTCTGGTAATAAACTTACCTTAACAAATTATTATAAAAAACAATATATATATAAATCATTGTGTGATCAAAACTAAAAATTTCCTCGACTATAATAAAATCGGTGATAAGAATTCTCATTTATTTTTTTAAGGCCTTTCGGCTTTCATAAAACATAAATTTAAGTTCACACATTGAATATTATCTATTTAATCTAATATTTTATGTTTTACAGCATTTATAAATAATGCTAATAAAACAAATTTAAATAACCAAATATTAAATCGAAACATCATCATAATATTATCAAACCATATCATAATATCTATTAATCATGAATTTCCTACGCATACAATCTACGGTTGAAATATGATATTGAGATTAGTAAAATTACAGGCAGTTATAATTTTATCATAGTATACTAGGACAAATTATCAGTAATCTTGAAGTGATTTTTTTTATACCAACATTACATAGAATAAAATAATTTAATTTTTCTAATTTAATGTGTATTTTTATTTTAAGATTTTATTAATAATAATTAATATAGTTGTTCGAATCAACAAAAAAAATGTCAATATTTTTATCGCCATTAAAGTACCTAGTCATAGTGTTTTGGTTTTTTAAAGAAATAAAATTATGAATAACATTTCTGTTCTTGATTTGGGTGCTTTGATATTTATTTTAGTTATTTTTAGTTTTTAGTAATCATAAACACCTTGAAGAAAATATAGTGTTCAATTGGATCTCTGATTTGACTTGTTAATATATTAGTTACTGATCCACCATCTGAGTAAGCAGTAATTTAGGTTAACCAATATCATGTTAAACAGGATTTTGTAAAAATATAAATATTTTTGTAAAATAAAGTTTAAGCTACATATATTTCGAAACTACAATAGTTGGTTGAATAATATTTGATTGTATATTTTGCTAATTATATTCATACTGTAATACAATTTTTGTCATGCTTTTAAGTGTTTATTAAGGAAATTTTTTGCTACCTAGATTTTGGTCAATAAGCTTTTTTTTAAACAAACAATTCTAAAATTATTAAAAATAATAAAGATTTTTTTTTTTGCTGGAACGTCTAACATTAACACACACACGTGTAGACCAATGAACATTAGCATACCATTATGTAATTATTGTTTTCAATGTAGGTAGATTGTACATAAGTTGTAAATTAATTTAACCGAAACAAAAAAGTAATGTATTTTTCATTTTTCCACCAACACGTGTACAAATATTATTCTTGAAAAGTTCACGGCGGTGTTTTGCCAGCGACCTTGTCGGGATTTCGCATCAATCGAGCTTATCAATATACTACACGGATACGTTCATTGCACTGCTACATAATACTACACACACGTGGCGAATGCAATATGAATAAACACAAATTGCCTTTTTGTGGTCGTAGGTAGTACGTATTCGATAGATTCAATAGCTGTGGTTTCACTCGAGACCCGTTTTTAATACTAGCTCGGAGTGGATCTGTAAAACTTGATAATCCAGACAAATATAGCTAATTATTTATATAATAAAAGTTTAATTTTAGTTTTGTTAAAAGTAATCAATTGCTTAACTATTTTTGTATACCCTTAAATTAACAACTGCTTGTCGTTACAATAGCCGATGCATATTAATTTTAAATAGTTATTTCGTATAATATATATATATTTTTTTTTATTAATAAATGCAAAATTATAAAAAAAAATGGTGAAATTAGAAAAAAATGTACACTTTCAACTTAATATAGTTACACTATTGCCTACGAGGTAAAAACCTTGTGTCGCCATGGATATGTTCACAGAATCAATTAGGTGTATAATTATACGTATAGGTAGTGTTTATTATAGTGGTCAACTCTACATTACTATTTTGTATAAAATCAAGATGGATATTTTTCAATAACTTGCATTTGATGGTCTAAACAAGAGCATGGCTACAACCCCTCCCCGAGTCATCTAAAGTTCTATCAAGATTTTTAAATAAAGAAGAGCTAGATCCTACTATCAATGGTTGTGGTCATTACTATAGTAAGAATTAAGGTCCATCATAAGGTGTGCACGAGCCATAATGCATAAAATCCTATGCTGAAGAAAAAAGAGTCCACCATTATTCAGTGAAACGCAGTATTAAAAACCTACTGTATTTTACCTAACCTAACCTGCGTCTTATAGATTTTCATATACTGAGAGATATGCAAAATTGTGTAATATTAAATTATAAAAATACTACTTACCAAAATCCGTTACATAATACCTTGACACGTGATTAATAACAATTTAATATTGTTTAACCGTATATATATATATATATATATATATATATATATGATTGATGAAAGCTGATAAATTTTGAAATTGTGTACCATGACTTCTTATAACCGTGACTTTTTATGAAGAAATAACGGAAGTAGCAAATTTTACGTAATGCAAATTATTTTTTACAAACTTGTTGAACTGATTAGAAAAAGCATTGATTAAAATGTATCGATGTAGATTTATTATACAAGTTAAAAAAAAAAAACTATGCGGCCTCAACGTATCATATACATATAAATATATAATTTTTTTTTGTAAAATTATAACTCATGGTATTTTTAAATTTTGATACAAAGTTCAATAATATAACGATATATGTATGTATAGTACATATTACACTTTATTGTATACTCAGAGTTAATAACAATCAGCTATAAATACGATAAATTGACCTATAATCTTTTGGATCTATGTGTCATCCGAAGTCTGTGTGTTCGAAGTGTACCTACTTATATAATAAATACATTAGACTGTTTTGTTTTAAATTTTCTTTTTCTTCTTCTAACGGTTTAGCCTTTCAACCGCTAGTAGCTTATTCAAATAAAAATTTAGATTCTTAGTTGAACTTTTATTACTTCCTCGTGATTTTATTTTTGCATTTAATTAACATGAACAATTTTATTTTTCATAAAAAAAAATCTTAAAAACTAATAAAAACTTATTAACTTGAAAAGCATTTCTTAAAGCTGAAATATGACACTTAAAAGTCCATCTTTTGTTTTTTTTTTTCAAAAAGTTATCAAGTTTCCAGTTGTATCAGTTTCAGTGGGCTGTTACTTGATAAGAACAATTTTTATCATGATGCGATTTTTGATTAGTTTTTAAGTTTTTAAATTACAATTTTCCATGTTAATCAAACGCAAAAAATGAATGCGCGAAGAACTAAGAGTTAAAAGCTAGGGAACTGAAATTTCAGAGTTTTCTTGTTTTAATAGGCTATTATTTATTAGAGGGTAAAAAAAGTTATTTGTATACACAATCTGATATATATTATACATATTTATATTATGTTTGCAGCAAATCCTCAGTTCGCCGACACATATACACAAAAGTCTGGAGTACGATCTATTACATCCGTTTATCGGTACCGGACTAGTCACCAGTGCAGGTAAGCATTACTACATTATAATTGGACTTCCATAGTTTCATATTGCTATTGTTTCTTTACCCGAAACAAATAAAACCAAACACGTACGTTGGGCTGTTTATGATGTCTTACACACTCCCCCGTGTTTTGTACTTTGTATGAAAGCTGTGTGTCAATACATTTTGCATGTATATTGTGGACGTTTAAATTCAATATTATAATTATTATTACTTTAACTGCGCGATTTCTGTTCAGAGGGTATTGAAAGAAAGATCAAGGGGAAACAATCCGATGTACCGTGTACATATTAATAATAATAATAATATACATATATTATATGTATGTCGTACCATAGGGTCGATGCGCTTTGGAAATTAGCGCGTATACTGCGGTCATTCACACTCACTTATTTTGTGTATATATTGTATATGCTTAGTTATAATAATATTTCAAGAGCACTTATACAATTTAATATAGCGAATGCCATTGCTAAACGATTTTAGAATATACAATTAGGTGTCATTTAACGTAACAGATAAAAAAAAATAACACGATTTCGGTCTGCATTGGCAGCGATTGTTAATCTTTTTAGCGAGCCATTCTTAATTAATGGGACGCAATATTTAATGTAAAAGAGGACAAAGAAACGAGTATGACTTGTAGGAACCTAAAAAATAATTGACCGAGGACAGAAGAATTGGGGAATTTGTCGGTCAATAACCCATCAAGGACCTTTAGTTTAACAGAGTGTCTACGCTCGGACAACTAGGATGTCATGTCAAGGCGGTTCGCAACAAATTTAAAAAAACAAAATTTCCTGTTTACTATTTCTAATTGAAAGGAGTCGACAAGGGTATTAGGGCCCAGAATATCAGAGCCGGTACTAATAATATAATGCATATCAAGCTATAATACCTACAAAGTTTAAACGCCTACAACCTTCTTTATCAGTAACGTATACTTCACATTGAAATGTAATCTCTCTTAGACTAAAATCCTAATTACTTATCGTAATTAGCCTAAAGGGGGGAGGGGAGGTCAGTACAGTTAAACTTAAACTCGGTTCAGTCCACATAAGTGTATGTTTTATTTAAGGGGTCGTAAACAAGCAGTTTCTCTAAAACAATAAACATTAGACGAGATTTAAGGTTAGTATTTACATTTTTTTCACTAATCGCTACAATAATTGTTTATAAATAATAATAAAAACTCTTTCCACTCAAAAATTAAAATACTATCTAATCTATAAATTGGAGACAATCATAAAAAAATATTTTTTAGGTAAAATCCTGTTACTGCGACTACTATTTTTTCCACTTAGCATATTATGATGATAGCAAATAGTTTATTAAGGTATATGGTAGGTATCGAGTTTCATCGTAAGGACAAGACTTCTACCACGTAAATGAATAAAAAAGACACGATTGTCTGGGCAATGTATGTAATGAGTACAATTACATAGTTTGATAAGTAATTTGTATATTTAAGTAGATACAAATTTGTATTTACATTTTGTTTAAAAAAACATTTTTCTCGATTTCAAAACATACTCATCGAGGAGGTGTATTCATGTGCATATTTTTTCGAGCTAATAACCATATCAGTGTGTTCATCGATTTTGTTCTCATACATTTGAGTATTGCTGTACATTTAGTTATTAATCACATTGCAAATTTATTGCGGTGCATCGCACGCGGTCAGAAAATGTGAGCCTTGGCACACATTGTACACGTTCCAATGGCGTTATCATTTGTATATTTTTTTACTTGCATTTTACCTAAGGAGCACGTTAATTGGTATTTATGTATACTCTATATTGCTACAATCTATACAAAACGCTAGTGCCTATTCGATCGCGCACAAATCGGTCGTGCATCAGCGTTTTGCCGGAGCACAGAGGAGAACATACGCATTTGCCTTATCGATGACACACAGACCTTTCTTGCATTTCACCAGCTACACAAGTTTACTGGAAATCATCGTGTGGGTTGCCCTTGGTTAATTGCCCTCTTTGGTTAAAGCCTTTATCGCGGGAAGCGCCTGCCCGTACAGACAAACCGCGAGTAGCGGTTAAAATAAAATAAAATCAACCTAAGTGGAAAATTCAATAGCAATAACACAGTCAGGGAATGCAGTCGCCTTACATACATTTTTGACATAAAAAAGAACAATTAGTGATTATAATTCGTTTAGTGGAGTTCCACATGCGGTTCAATCGGTCTTTAGAGTGCAATTTATTTGTAAGAGGCGGAGAACAACAACAGTGTAGCGTTCCACGTGGCATACAAAAGTTCAATGTTAAACATATCGCAAAGGTTAATCATCAGGCGCGTTATGAATTTACGACAAATTCACCGTGTCAAACGCGAAATGCACGATTTGAATTTAATAATATGTTTATTACCATTTTTGGAACTCTCGAGTATAGTAATAATAATCGTTTATTGCAACTAGATAAATGATAATATACAAAGCAATAAATACAAAAAAAGAAGTCTTGTAGCAAAATCTATCTAATTTGAATACTTAAAAGAATACAGACAAAAATTCATACAATAATAAATTATTTACTACATAAAAATTTTCTACAAATTTACGGTTTAATTCTTAAATATTTTAGAGATTGAAAGCGGTTTGGTTTTTTTAAGGTTCACACCAACAACATTTCACCTACTTGGGATGGTTCGATTTTAATTTTGTAAAAACGTACGATTGCGTTGGTCTCTTTGTTAAGTTTTGTTGGAAACTCATTGTTAGAGTTTTTTCTATTTTTTGGCAGTAGTTTAATCAATATTAAATATAACGATTCAATATAAAATCGTGATTTAATGAAACTACAATTTAATATTGCAAAACTCGTACGCGTTTTTTTTTTTGTTTATTTGAAAAAATCTGACTTTTTTAAACGAATTGACAAAGTACGATAAAAATGATATATTTTAATTTTATTAAAATAAGATAATTATTATTTTTATCTCGTCAATTTTCTGTAAAATCTATACAGCTAGTATAGGATAGTAGTTTTAAGTTTTTAATAAATCATTATCAAATTTCCATGTAGAACAAATCGCATCTACATAATATATCTTATGCTAAAAAGTATACCTGTCCATATAGAAAATGGGACCTTCAAAGCGATGCTAAATTGATTTTAAATGTACATAAATAAGAATCAAATTAGCGGACTTGCCAAAAAAACTCGAGGACAAAACTTGTTTGTAAAAACGTTGTAACATGTATTTTATGAACATGTAATCAAATAAAATAGTTACTTTTTAAAAAATCATCGCAAATTGTTTCTGTGATAATTTGATAAAAATAACGATAACCATCAATAAACGCAATCTTTATTACTTACGTTAAAATATACAAACTAAAATTTTAGCTTTCAATAATTGTTGTGTAAAAAATGCCTACACGTAACCCCTTAAATGATGTATCTGCTCGTCCAGGGTCTCTCCATAATAATATACTTCTTTATTCGATAACATTGCTCTATTCGACTTGGTGTCTCATCCAGCTACTTTTTTCAATCTTTAACTATCCCAGCATCTCTTTCCACAGCTGCTCTACTCTACATTCATTATTAGTTTTTTTCATTATTAGTTATTACTTGCCTCGCGCATGCTACAAAATATTCGATTGTGTAATAGTGCTTGTTGTTGTTTCCATGTTTTATGCCGTTGGTGTAACTCTCTTATGGAATATGACCATTCCCGATCAGAAGCATTTATAGTAATATGAAATATTTCGCAGCAAGTTTATGAACAGTCGATTTTAAGTAACTTGTAACTTTTTAAAGGGGAAAGTCATACCGCGAAAAAGGGCTACGAATGACCTCATCGTTTGTAAAAATATTGCCTATCGTTTGCCCCTTTATTAACAGCATTCCATTATAAATTCTGTGGCTTGACTCTAAAAGGCCAATCTTAATTTTGGACATAAACGTGTTAGTCCACTAAATACAAAAATTTTAACATCCTTTATATACTGCGATAAAAATGACACTCTGAGGCCAAAAAATGAATTACTTATGAAGAATTTGGTGAAAAAATTAACATAAAGCCTAAAGAAAAAGAAAAACTTTAAAGCTCATTTCCCGAAAGTTTCAAAAAGTGAGATCTGCCCTTTTAGACATAAGTCACAGAATTTGTCTTAACTAATAAAAACAATATTCCGGTCAATTTTCTCGGCAACTTTGTATGTAAATTCAATATCACCAAGTTCATGTGGGCACTTAATGATTTTACAACGGATCGAGACTTTGTTACATAGTTTATTATTATTTTGAATTCATTCGCATCCACCCACCACATGTGCACGTAGCATATAAGTATTGCATACAGATGCAATCGGTCTGCCTGCATAATGACCGTAATTCAAACTAGCCTCTGTATCCTTGAACAATGCCACTGGAGCTGCACTTATTGCACGTCTAGACATGGTCGCAGCCAGGGGGCTGTGCAACTGCGATGGTCGAGGTGACCGTGTACAACAATGCTACATACTATTATTATACATGAACAATGCACATGCACCGCTTATTTTTATGCAAAGTCGTTAAAATCTAATGCAGTTGCGTTGTACGCACATATTATGTATAAGGGTCGTAAAAAGTTGTAGTGAGCCATACTATATTGTAATAATTTATTTATGTTCAAAAAAAAATATAAACGTCAAAACAGTAAATAATTTATAGTACATATTTTTTTTTTAAATAACTATTATCGACGTAGAGTTATTGCTGCTCTTTATATTACATATATTATTGTTATGTCGGTTTAGAGCCGCTGCATTGTTGTACCGTTTTGACTTACTCGCATATTTCTATAAGCCGGACAAGTTTAATGATGGTTCTGTCATGCCTTTGTAAAATCAGTTTATACTTTATAACATAATCTCTCCACGAGGGTCGAATAAATGCAATTGCAAGCAAACAGAGGCCTAGGGTAAATGTAAGGTAAAGAGATAATTCATTTTAAACGAATTTTAAGGTGCTATAATATGTATCAAATAATTTAGAGTAAAAAACAAAATTATCAAGAAATGACCAATACATTTATTTACTATATTTTACTTAGTTTGGTTAAATCCACATTTGATCAAATTTAAATTTCTTTGTTCACTTAAAATGTTTGCCTTCGTATCGTTGTACATACAGATGTAAATCATTTTTATCTAATTTACATCTGGGCGACCTCGTGGAGGTAGAGGAGTGTTAATTATATGTTTATTAATTTCATTGGTTGAATAAGTTTAGTGCATAGTATTATAATAACTGATTATTATTATTATTGGTCCTTTAATAATAGTAATAATATCGTATTATCTCGATAAATGTACACAAATTATTTTTTAGTATTTAGATTTGTTGATATGTAGATTTTACCCCGTTTTTTTTAAAAAATTTAAGTCAAAGTCTTTTACCAGCGATACTTATAATTAATAATATTACATTTTTTTACAGGATCTAAATGGCACGGCAGAAGGAAGTTGTTGACGCCAACTTTTCACTTTAACATACTCGAAGAGTTTCTACCACCAATCGTGCGTCAAAGCAAAATTTTGGCGCTCATGTTGAAAAAAGAGGTAGCTAAGGAGTCCGGATTTGACATAACACCTTACGCTAAGTTGGCCGCCCTGGACATTATAGGCAACACAGCAATGGGATGCGAAATCAATTCGCAGGAAAATTCGGATAGCGATTACGTCAAAGCTCTGGACGAGTAAGTCAAATTTGTTTACAATAACCTGGTTGGTCCACAATTGGACCATTTAATTAAAAGCCACAACCTGTTTTCGAAAAAAAAGTCTGAAAGTTCTCTTAAACTACTCTAATTAAAATGTATAACTTTGCAAAACCCTCGTGACCAACATTTGATATATATATATATATATATATATGACAGTTACGAATGAAAAAAAAAATCATAAAATCTTCTAAAATTAATGTCTATAGTTATCGGTCGAAAATTAAAATTACTTTTTTACAATACTTATATTTTTTTTTATAATCGTTTCCTTCTCTAACGACCTACTTGACGGGTCTTTAATGATGGTTCTTTGATTTTTTTTCTTGGTCAGTAGCTATATGTGTGTCAAGAGGAGTTTAAAGATTTATAAACATTTATAGTGTTTGCGGTAGGTTGAAAAAAAAGTGGGTGGGTGTGATAAATAAGGATATAGGAGTACGCAGAGTGAACAAAAGGCGATGGATAGAGATTTGTGGAGAGAACCGATTTGACTAGTATAGAACCCTTGATAAGGTAGAGAAGAGAAAATATGAAAATCAATAGAGGTGTGGATTTAACCATTGCCAGTAAATTTAGCTCCCTACTATAACATGGTAAATATCTCATGGCAATACCTAAGTTTGCTATGATAATAACACACGATTATGACTGTTTAAATAATATTTGGTTTTGTTTTGTTTTTAGAGTGACCTATATAATGCAAAAACGATTTATTACACCGTGGCTGAAACCCAATATAATATTCAACTCGACACGACTCGGCAAAAGATTAAAACATTGCATAAATATCATACACACGTTTACCAAAAAGGTTTGTACGCTTAAAATACAGTTCAATGACATTTCAACATTGTATTTACACGGATCTAGCAGGTTTTTTTTATTGGCTGAATTTTATCTTACATACAGGTAATCCAAGACCGAAAGGAAAATTTGAAATCCTCTACTGCCGATCAACACGTGTCTGACGCAAATAAAAACGAAATTTACAGTAAGTGCTCATTGTCTTAAACATCATGCGCAGATGGGTCTTAAATTAAATAGAAGGTGGGGACTCTTGCCTCAGCTAAATAACTAGGACTGAATAGCTCTCACCCCCAAAACACACACTTAATTTTCCCTCTCAATTAACGTCTATAGTTAATGTACTAAGTTAACATAATGATAATAATAATAATAATAATAATAAGTATGAAAACCATATTGATCGAATAGGACAAAAATAAAAATATTATATCATGTGGATTTCAGAAAAACGACCTAAAGCTCTGTTGGACCTGTTGATCGACGTGTCGGACAATGGCAAAGTGCTGAGCGACGAAGACATTCAAGAGGAAGTAGACACGTTTATGTTTGCGGTTAGTGTTCAGCATTTATAGTGAACTACTTAAAATAAAGAAAAATCTCATTTATTCAAACATTGACTATAGTAGTAATAATATTATTGTATTATTTGCAATGTATAGGGTGTGGACACATCGTCGACGACACTATCGTGGGCCATGTACGTGCTAGGCAAACACCCGGAAGCCCAAGAACAGATATTGACCGAACTCGATGAAAAACTGCCGAATTTCGGAGACGAGGAATTGTCAGTGAGGGACTTGTCTAAGCTCGAATACCTAGACAGGGCTATCAGAGAGGTGCTCCGGCTATACCCAGCTGTCCCCCTGATCGGTCGACAAATATACGAACCACTGACAATAGGTAAAACTCTTTTTATATTTGTATTCAATTGATTATTGTAAAAGTAAACATCGAGAGAGAGAGAGAGTTGGGTTGCATTGGTTGTATATATGAGTGATTAAATATTTTCCCAGTGTTAAAACAGATTAATAATACTACTTTTTTGCCTATTTTTGTTAGTAAATACATTTTTAAAAATAACGTTCTTTACAATTAACTATTGTAATTTGCCTTACTGAAGAAAATGAACTAGTTAAATAATTAGTTTAATCATAAGTCATTATTTGTACACTAATTTAATGTTTTCATGGCATTCTTAGATTTCTTAACGGTATTAAGTGTTTCTGTTATTTACTAAATTATAATATATATTTTTAACATTTGATCAGTTAATTAAAAAGTGATAATTTATTTTTAAGCTGAGATTCTATTGGTTTTAAGTCTTAGTTTCCAATATTTGTTAGTCAACATTTTCTAATTAACTAGAACTGAATTTAAATTTAGTCCAAGTTTGCATGATGTTTATTTATATATTTCTGTTTGGACTTCAGTAAAAATATTACATCATTTTATTTCATTACTGCATTTAATATTTCTTTAATCGATTAAATTTGACCTTGCAGTATAATGTGAACTTGAACTCTGAGGAATAATATTAAACAAACATCTTATTATTATTATTTAATGATCTACACAATTGATGCTATCACATAACAATGATATTATCATCTATTGTTATGCTATCATGAAAAGCAACTATTCTTAAAATTTCATGAAATATATTTTTGTGAAATAATTCAATACATTTTCGTGCAATTTTTTAAAAGAGCGCAAATATAATTAAAAAGTTTCTACCCGTATTCTACGGCCACGGTTTATGATGTTACATTTTTAACAACTGTCAATTGTCACTCTCTTATCTACTAAAGACCTTGCCTTGTCGTTGCAAATCTGGTTCTCCATTCTTCTTTGTTAAAAGCCAGTCTTTTTATGTCAACGTTCTCTATCATTCTTACGTTTTACCTTCATTGCTTGATGTTTAAGAAAATTAATGCAGTGGTTTCCCGTTGCCTTCTGCATCGCAGTGGCACCTCGTATTACTAAGGGATGCTATTCAAGTATAGATACTAACAATGCTGCTGCCCATTGCTAGGTCCATTTTGGTCGCCTTTTACGACGGGCATGGACTGCCGTGAGTGTATTCTGGCCCCCACCCACAGGGGTTATTGTCACTCTAAAAAAAAATGTCTTCATACAAATTACAGAATTCAAATTTTAAATACTAAAAAAACATTCTTGAAGCATATTTCTTAAAAACTTTTATTATATAATTCGTGTTTTTTTATTTAACCGTGAGCTTAGGTAGGAAATAGTTCTGAAAAATAATTAAAAAATACCTAGCTTGTTACTACTTAAACATTGGCAATAATTATTATGAATTATATGCAATTATGTTTTTCTTTTTCTTGCCAGGTGACCTTACAATAATGCCGGGTACATCGGTCATGATAAACACGTATGCTTTACACAGAAGTAAGAAACATTTCGACAGCCCCGACAAATTCGATCCAGACAGATTTTTGGCGGACAACAAACATGACAGGCATCCGTTCGCTTTTTTGCCATTCAGTGCAGGCCCAAGAAATTGCATAGGTGGGTAAACGATGACAGTTACAGTCTGCTCGTTTTAAAATTGAACCTGCTACGCTCTCTTTAATTATATAAAACATACAAATAGCGAAAGCTTAAGAGTAGCAAAAGAGAAAATAATTAAGTCCATTTTTAACTTAAATTAAACAATATTTTAGTATTATTTTTTTATTGAATATATATTTTTTATTACCTAATAACACTAATTGAATAGTCAATCGATGTTTATAGATTCCATCATTTAAGTAGACCAAAAATAAACTACATTTTTACTAATCTATTTTGTCATTAAAAAATTAGATTTATATCTTATTTAACAAAAACAATAACCTAATGAACTAAATGGTTAAAATGTACTTAATCGTTTAGTTAGAAAAGTCATAAGACATATACACTAGTGTTGACTTTTTCGTATTACAATTGTTTTATTAGTTTTTTTTTTGCTCCATTTCATTTTTTATTGATAAAATCTCACATAACATTATTACGGATTTCAGGCCAACGGTTCGCCATTATCGTGCTGAAGGTGGCGATCGCGACCATTTTGAAATCTTACAAGATTAAATCTCTGGACCCTGAACAAGACCTGGGACTGGTGGGCGAAATAGTTTTGCGAGCTGAGCACGGTATCAACATAACCGTCGAAGAACGGACGTGTATATTGACATAGGACCTACCTCGTATTATTACATTTACTTGCACCTCTAGACTCTAGTAGTAGTACATACACTTCCACCTTCATTTTTTTTAATTTTATTATTAATATTTCTATTTAAAATCCATTTTAGTTGTTAAGCCATTGTACGATTACCTATTTTTTTATTTTTTATTTTTTTTTATTTGTATTTATTTATTTTTTTTGTACGTTTGACAGTGGACGTGTTTCGTTGCTATTAACTATTAGGTTTTTTTATTTTTATTATTGTATACGTTTTATATTTTAACATTAATGTCTTTTATACTTGATTACAATTTTTACTTTTATTATTAGTTATTACCTATAATTGTGATTTGCAAATTCGATGAATTACATATGCACGCACGCGTGTATGTTTATACTATATTATTACACTTAATGTGTTTGTTATTGTGTATTAAAAATAAAAAAATACAAATTTTTTTCTATACTCCTGTTGACAGTGATCTTTCGTATTTCTAGTTAACAGGTTGGTCGGACTCGAATATGCTGCTCGGATCATCTGACTCACTAAACAAAACTTACCATACATAGGGGAGGTACAATTATTTCTTTAGCAAACCCAGCAGCATGATTCTTATTATGCTACCGGTAATGTGTTCGAGTATTAATAAAATGATATTCAGGTTAAAAATTGTTCATTATTGTTGGTTTTGTAGTATCATTAAAAAAAATCTATGATTAAATTGTGCTTAAACAGTCAAAATTATTTATAGTTTTGATTTACTCTAATTATAGACGTCGAGTTGCACAAATCTGAAACCGGTATCAAATGTTAATAGAAGTAATCATGGCTTTATTAATTATTTTTTAACTAATAAAGCTATTATCATTTAGTAGTAATTATCTCTTATACGTAGGCTTGTTAGTGCAAAATATGAAATCTATTAATTTTTGTAAAAACAACAGTTTCTTAATACATTTTTAAATACCCTAAGACATATTGAACTGTATCAGACATAATGCTTTACCAGTTAGTTGAATTATAAATGGGCATTTAAACTATAAATCCAATAAATGCACGAATTGCTATGCTAATTAAAATTAATTAATAATAGTATAAGCACTATAAAATCTAAAATAAGCAATACATATTTTGTGCTTCTAATTTATTTAAGGCAGAGGCCGGTATCGATACGGAAAAAACAAATATATCAGCATATTATAGTAAGTAATAACTTTTTCAGGTTTTGAGTTATTCAATATATTATATTCTTATCGACCTCTATAATTGATGACCATTAGACTCAATGTGTGAATGTATAAAAACAAATCAAAAAAAGGGTTTCCATTTTCTGTTTGTTTTTGCTCGAAAACATGCTGCTAGTATATCGTCTGTAAGCTGATTAAATTAATAATTATTATAATATTTTATCTACATTCCTGTTTTCTCGATACCGTTGCTGTTTTGATAGACATTTTTTAGCTTATCTGCATATTTTTGGGATAACCGCTGCATTCTTCAAGGAAAAGGTATATGTGCATTATACAATTTATTATTTGTATATAGCCACTTGTAATAAATTATTATAACTATGGTTTTTTTTTTAATTAGGGAGATGTCCTAAGTACTAAGAGACCATACTTCCTTATCAGAATTTGTCCACTGTCAGTATTTATGAGACGGTTTTTCGTAGATCAAAACTTAAGATTCATAGGTTATTCAAGATTTTACTTTTCAATACATTTTTCCATGGAATAATAATCATATTAGCTAATCATATTTTAATAAAAATGTTTATTATATTTTATGATCAAAACTAGTTTTGGTGTTCTTGTTAAAAAATATTACTTTATAGGGTTATTTTTTTAAAATTTAAATGACAACTTGCGTATTAATTTACCTATTAGCTTAGGAGAGTAGAGAAGTTACAAAAAAAGAATGACTGGTCGAGATTTAGTTTTGAATAATTACTAATTATCGGCAACTTAATTATTAATGTTAAATAATAAAAAAAATTGATTCAAGACCTATTTTTAAACTTCTAACAATGTACGACTTTTTAAAAAATATGACTAATAATTGTTTTTTATGAGAAACATATTTAAATAATTCAGCACCGTTTAAACTTAGTTCAGTCCAAAACAATTACAGTAAGAAATGATCAAAGACCAAAGTACAGTTAGTTTACATAAACTTGCATTTAAGCGCTTTCTTGAATGTTACTTTATAGGAATTTTTCTCCTCTAATAACTTTTACTTTAGTGTTCTTTTTTACTTTGTTAGTTATATTATAGTAAGCTGTCTTCATACAACTTACATAATTGCGATGGCATCTATTCTCATGGTAGGTAATGACTGAGTTGTCTTATTGCATTTAAATTGTATTTGTAGTACTCACTTAGATGGTCTTTTACAGATGGATCCATCACGTTTACCTAACCTCTCGCAAACTTTTTAAGGTATAGTATTTTGATTTCAAGAGCATTTTCTTTGAGATAGTAATACAATCACATTCAACAAAACACTTCGTTGCGAATTTGTTGATTACTGAATAACCCACTTTGGTAATTTCTTTCTATGCGGGTTTATACTATGCTGATTCAGACTGTGCTGGGTTTTTTATTTGGTTATCGTACATTTCTTTCATTATTATTACTATCATTAAAGTTGTACAAATTAACAAATAATAGTACACAGTCGTACAAGCTAAGTTTAAATAAAAATAAAAGTACATTAATTATGATTTATGAATTATAAAAGTTAGGTACTTAGTATGTTGCATTACCTTATGCAATAGAATTAATTTATTCGAGCTACACTATATTATGTTTATAAAATAAAATGTTAAACTGTTGTTTTGCACTTGATGTATGCAAAGTTTGAGTTATGAAATACTAATTAACACAAGTCGCAACCTCATTACTCAAACAAACACATATTATTCATTATTTTTATTATTGTTAGTGTTATCTAATGCTTACTCGGTGTTGGTAATATATTTAAGTATTAGTTTGAAAATGATAATATTCGCATATTTAATGGCAAGAATTTGTAAATTTCAAACAAAACAAAATAAGCGTTCGGTTCGTACATTGGTCCAGAGATCATGTGCGTTTTTTTAATGTGCTGCCCGGTAGGTATATTGATTTACTCTCGAAGGTCTACTAAATAATTGATAAAGAAATTGCGCCTATTCCCGTGAAAGCCCAGTACCAAATGAACAACAACAATAAAATTGTGTGAACAGACACAAATAAACACAATTCCATAAATGACCATCATTGTAAAACCGTACCTTCTTATTATCGAAGCTGGAATATTTTCAAAAATTTAATTTTTTCTTAATTGTTGTGTAAGGGCCTTCAAAACCAGTCGAGTTATTTGTTTTTGATATTAATTTCAGATTTGATATTAGTTTTCATTTTGATCTTTAATTGTGGGGTTAGAGGCCCTCCCTCAATTTGTATATTACCTATATTACATTTAAAAAAAGATTTACAAAAGAAGAATACAATTTTTAAAATTGTACATATTAAATGTAGTATTTCGGTTTATAATAGGTATTGTATATTAAATTTAGTTAGTACCATTTTCAAAATCCATATTTTAGTCGTTTTTTATAACAAAACAAATTAGTCAACAGACTTTTTTTTTTTATACATGTTGCGTCTCAAATATTGATTAGACCTACACTTAGTCTAATTTTTAACTCATACATTTTAAAACTGCACCTAAAAAAATAAAAACCGATCAAACCCCACGTTTTAACCAAAATTCGTTTGAAGCGATGAACCATGCACGGTAAATTTTCGATTAATCCTATAACTTTTCCGGCTTTGGAAATACACATGGTAGTTAAGTTTAATTAAACTGGTCTTTGACAAATCACATAATTATGGTATTTATGTTTATTATATTTATTGCACTTCTATTTTAACAACGCATGATAATTTATATATTAATATAGTTATATAATTACAATAATAAAACATGCACTATTTCGTTCAACGACCTTTAAACGATGATACAATTCGTTTTTATATTATTATGGGTTTTATTTCGAATTCCGAACAAAAGCCATGACCCTACGTCTAGAAAAATTACATAAAATATTGAAAAAAAGAAGTGCGAAGTTAAGCAGAAATCTTCTTGAATAATATAATATAGAAATATTTATTATTTTACGGAATAATAATACAGGATGTCCCACGATGACTTGTCAAATAAAATAACTTTTGTTCAACTGAATATAATATTCAAGATTTAAAAAAAATAATTAAAGCAACCAAAATAATAAAAAATTATTTAAAAAAAAGTAAAACAGTTTTGAGCAATCTTGTAAATATTCACTAACACAAAAGTTATTTCATTTGCCATTTCTTTGTGGGACACCCTGTGGAAGTACGAACATATTTTAATGTTATCATTTGTTAGTAATAAACAAATCGCGTAATAAGAAAAAAACAAATGTTGCGCATAGTTTCATACATATAAAAATTACTGGCTATTACAGAAACATAATAAATAATCAATATCATACACACACATTCGATAATATTAAAGCATTGTGTATTAATCTTGCAGGTACACGAGTTTACAAGTTAGTTTAATAGTTTTCAATAATATTATTTTATTATAAATCACCATAATTGTAGATTTACCACCAGTGGCAGTTGTCGCTTCTTTTCGATTTGAAATAAACAGTCTTTTACGCTGTGGAAAAAAAAACAAACAGTTCAGGTATGAAAAAAAAACATTTATTCGAGTGTTATTTTAAAAATTATTTTAAACACTACCTAACAAATAATAAAAATAAATTTGAGTCATACTTATAGTATTGATAATAAAATAAATGGGTGAAGGCCCCTATTGTGTATATAGTGTTTATTCTTTGCTAGTTTGGATTAAGTGCGGTTGGGAAATGCGCGCAGATAAAAATAGTATTACACTTCACCTATCCCTCCTGCCCTAAACTTGAAACTTGAAAAATAGTTATCCTAAACTGGTTATCGACCAGTCAAAATGTTTAGTACATTATTATCAATTTAAAAAGTTAATGAAATGTATGCGTTGCCATTTAAGTTTTAAAAGTTGCTATCAAAAAAACCAAGCCGGACGGGGTAAAAACAAAACCATTGTGAGAAATTGAGATCACATTATATAATACAAACATTAAAGAAAAAAACAATTCAATTGTTAATTAAACCCAGTGAGATATTGAGTGGTTCATGATAAGTTGATAACCCTGTATAATACATAAAAACAATTATTGCTTCAGTTTAGTACAATTCTTTGAGAGGGGTGGCTTTACTTTTCTTTGTGATCTCCGCCTATAGGTAAACAAACCCCGAGTATCCACACTACAAGCGGATAAAAGGAACAAGGATATGTCTTATAGCCGAGTAAATGTCAAATTTAAGTATACTCAAATTTCCAATTTCTGATTTTAATTTTTTTAAATAATAAGACCTAAGTGGAGTGTGACACATCGCGTTACGTTTGGAACAAATTTTTAAGATAAACCCCAGCGGTAAGAAATATCTATGTCATAAATAGGGCGGGCGGATGGTTTTTAATAAATACAGAAGGTAAATAGAGTAGAAAAGTGTAGAGTGAGATGTTGGTCTAGTGTCTACTCTTTTTGTGCGGGGTAAAGTGAGGAGGAAGAAGATCTCTAGAACCAAACGGCAATAATGCAAATGATAAAAATATCAACCGTGTTAAAATATATTATAAATAATACTTTTTACGATACATTTTAAATCAGTCTAAATGTGATTTGCTGTCTGTTTTTTTCTTCAGAATTATACAGACAAACATGTCTAAAACCGATATATTTTTTAAGATTTTTGTTGGTAGTCCTTTAGCTGTTAGCATATATTGCATATGATCGTTAAAAAATAATTATTATTAGTATATTATAAATATATATTTTGTGTACTTTTTAGTTAGAAATAGTGTCAGCGGTTCAAAAGGCCACAGAAGTAAAACAGCGTCAGATACGAGATGTTAGTAAATTATTTTTGTTATTAATAGTTTGTAATTTGTATTTTATGTACTTTAAAAAACACCATTACAAAATATAACGAACAAAACTAAACGTTAAAGGCGGAATTGGCAAAAAAAAAACTACGCTCAGACTCCCACCTTTGTAACTAAAAAACAATCAAGCCAATGAATTTATATTAACAACGCAAACCTTACATTACAGGCTGCGAGATTCCTACGCGAGACCGATATTTTAGGGGGCATTCTTCAAGGTTATCCCAATATATCCACTATTTGTATGATATCGTGACTACCTACGATTTTCCGGTAATTACAAGTATGTTGTCGCGACTACCAAATTATACTGTGATTATGGTATCACAATAACATTGTATGACCTTGTAAGACTTATCAACACACAAAAACGTTAAATTTTAATTTTACACTTAAATGTTTTGAACTTTTAAAAATTTTAATTTGTTGAATTATTTGACAATCATTAATAATGATAATCTGGGGTTTACCTTCTATGGTAATAACGCAACTGAGGTCAGTTCTTCCAAAACATAACATACATTTTTATTTTATCAGCGTGACCAACCCCCAAACACCAAAATATAAAATCATATCTATCAGTCTGCCAATTCTATCAAAATAAAAGTAGTCGCGATAACATACAAGTACCAGAAAATTAAATTAAAAAAATAATAGCGAAACATTATCGAAATATTTTGCTTACATAATCATCAAATAAATTATGTTTTTATAACTTGAAAACAGAAAAGTTGAAACAAGTTACCTTTGACGTCCAACACGACAGGCGGCCTCCCGCGGACTTCAGCCGCTGCTTCGCCAGCTTTGACGCCTTCGAAGAACACCCTTTGTAACACTTCTCGCACGTCGTTCATCTGCAGCAGTTCCGCATCACTCTGTTCTCGGGTGACAATCGATTGTTCTGCACATGGCACGTTCATACGAACAGGCTGTCTCCTGCGGTGTACTATCCTGCCTTCGTCCAAATCGTCGTCATATACGTAATGTGGTTGCTTGAGCACGACAAAACCGCCGGACAGTTTTCGTTGTTGAATGAACATGACGGGGGTCTCGGGTTTATCGTACAGGACAGTCTGTCGCTCACGAAACACCACTGGTTTCTCACGGACTACCACTGGTTGTTCCCGGTACACGACAGGCCGTTCTCGGTACACGACCTGTTTGTCTTGCACGGCCACGTCGTCGTTGCCGGACGACGCTAAACGCGACATGGTAGCGGTCGGCCCACACGATCTGGCCGACGACCGTCCCAAAGCGCGATCAATGGCCGACGCGCACCTATGTTCGCGGTCGCTACCAGCCTGTCTGGAGTCCCTATTCTTGATGTCCGCGTTGCCGTCACGGTTTTCTGGTATGTGCTCGTCGTCCCCGTTGGCCGCTTCCGCGATTATAGTTGACGTTTCATTTTCGCTCTTTTCGGCGGTTGTCCTCTCGTTGGCCGGCGCTCTTCGATCGTTGTTGTTGTTGGCCGGTGCACCATCGCAGACGACGGCGGTGATGACCGCCACCAACAGCACCAGCAACACCGTTCCGTGACACTTTCCTGTTGACATCATCGTTCGACAGCGGGTGGACTTGAGGGACTCGTTGCACTAGTTGGTCTGCACTGTCCGATGTGACCCAGAAGACATTCGATTACTGTGAATGATGATGACATCATACGATGTCGCAATAGATGGTACGCCGTCCTGGGAAACCGGCTGTAAACGGTGTGCTAGTTTTTAACAAATTGTATTAAATAGATAGATAATATTCTCGGTAGTTCGCTTGGTCAGATTTGAAAAAAAAAAAATCAAAACCAGATTATAAAATATAGCAATCGGCTTTATATGTAATGCTAGTTTATAAACACCAACTCGTGTAGACTGTAGTAGAAAAAAAAATAAACTATAATATTTGGTTCGGGTAAACTGCCAACGCGAGGAATTGTCTACAGAACAGTCGGTGCGGTTTTAAATATTATTGTTATATTATATTATTTCACACGACTGCTGGTAAAAACAACACAATCATGTTAGACTGGACAAGACCATAACAACATCAAGTGACGCTTAACTTGCAAAACCCTGGTCCAGTTTTTTTTAGAACAATACATTCCATAGCGTTCTGGACGATTGAAATATTACAATAAATATAATATACAATTTTTTCGTTTTATAGAACACTATCTAGTATCTAGTATAAATATCTTGGGCAATTAGGGCTGTAGATTAGGTTGTTAAATAATATATATAATGTGTACGTGTTGTGTTGTGAACGGATTTAAACTAAAAGAAAAGGATCTTTAGCTCCTACGACAGACAAAAGGTTGTAATTTTATTTGTAATAGACTAGTAAAACTGAATTTTCAGGATATATTGTACCCTTAGAGTGTGTCCTAAGTTCGTTCGGTCAAGGTGTGTGTATATTATGTTGTAATAAATCTTTATATACGACAGTACTGAGTACATTGTAATCGCATTGTTTCATACAGAAAATGGTCGAGAAAGAACTGCAAATAAACGTGACAATTTTAATTTTATATTATTGCTTAAAAATGCATATTTATATATATATACCTAAGACGTTAACATGTAATACTTCAAAACACAAGTTAATATTTATATTTTAATTTATAATAATTAAACGGCTGTTTAATGGTTTCAAAGCATTTGACTTGTTCTGAATATTTTTTAAGAAGTTATAGCGTGACGAATAGTTTATCAGCCATACTCGAGATAAAGAAAATCAAATCTGTTCAAATAACGACACAGCACAATATTTATCACTTATTATACATGTATTATGTTTATTATGCAATCGTCCATGTTTTCAAAATTATTTTAATTAGAAACCGCACCATTCTGTCACCACGACGATAAGCATGTTCGGATCATATTACTTATATGTCCGCCGCATGTGTCAGACCATATCTACTTTACTTTCGCTTAAGTCGACCCCCAGTGATGTAGTCCTGTGAGACAGCTCACCCCGTACTGTTCGAAACACTGTTATGTAATAATATTTAACAATACAATCTTGTCGATATTTAGTATATTCTTTAGTGCTGTTGAAGAATCGCCGAGTTTACCTGTTTCTATTAAATAACACTGTGATGATGTTTCGCTTGTTATTCGAAAAACAATGGCCGCTTAACGCCAAGTCCATGTCTACTACTAAGGTGAGTAAATCGTTTAGTTTTAAAATGGAATTATTTCAATGTTTTTATTTAATTGTGTCTCTCATGTGCCTATGAATTTGTTTTATAATTACAGAGAAAATAATATCTATTGTATTTTTATAAATGTTATATCAAAGAAACTGGTTATGTATTGTGATTCGAACTGGAAGAATTGTCTCAATGCTATTTTACATAAAATACAATTCTAGACCAACTATGTTGGATAATAATACGATTGATAATAATACGGTTGATAATAATACAAGAAAAATGTATTTTTTTAGAGTTCTCATTTAATGAATGTACTGACGGACTCGTTTGGAAGGAAGCACAACTATCTTCGAGTATCTCTGACCGAACGTTGTAATTTAAGATGTGAGTAAACTCTTAATGATTTTCATTTTAGTATTCTACTGCTAGAGAATATTGATACTATAAATTATATTTTATGTGAGATTACGTTTTGGAAATTTTAACTTATTTCAAAGCTTGGAAGCTTTTTATGCTTCGTTTTGGTCATTATAAAATGTACACATGCAATAATATAAGCATTTGAGTGGAAAAAATAAGCTAAACATAAAAATAAATAAAAAAAGCCAGCTAGGTTATAAGATTAGTTGAAAATGTTATTGATTATAATATGTCTGTAACAGGCGAATACTGCATGCCGGCAGATGGAATAAAGCTGTCAAACAGAGACAATTTACTCACTACTGAGGAAACGGTACGGTTAGTGGGTATTTTTGTTAAAAATGGAGTCGATAAAGTCCGAATTACTGGTGGAGAGCCGACCGTGAGGAAAGACATAGTCCACATCGTCGGTAAGAATATTGTCATAAAGTCGTTATGACAATTATGGCGGGTCCAACGAGTCCGATTTAATTTTATTTCAATTTGCAGTCAATATAGTTTTAAAACTTTATTTTTTTTTTTATTATTTTATGCAAAATTGAAAGTTGTCTTTGTAAGAAAATGGTCAACATATTATGTTTTGAATAATTTAGTAGTATACATGCGAGGGAAGATACGTTAGATACTATTTTTATATCGTGCAATATTTATTGTTATTTAAAACTGGTTACCTGCAGGGTCCAGCCTCGACACTGTGCTAATATATTTAATTACTATTATTTCTATGTACATATATAATATAATATGTACATACAAAAAATATAATTATGAAATAGAATAATAAAAAAACAGGTATCAATACATTTAAGAGCACAGTTTGATTTACTCGCCTTTAATCCCCTGCTATCTTTTCCAAAATATTAAAATGTCAAATACTAATTCTCATAAAATAATAAAACCCATAGGATTTATAATAACCTTTGGACTTGAACACGCTCAGCATTAATTCGAGGAAACAGTTTTCATGCAAAGGGAAAACGACCATTTTAATTTCTAAAAAATTAATATTTTGGGAATTTTAATTAAATATTCGTATTCTTTTAAACGCGAATGAGTGAATTGAATAAATAAATGAGTGAATTTACTATTACTATACTAACTATAATATTTTATATAAAAAAAATACCTGTCAAAAGCAACACACCTATCCAGATCCTATTCCTACCAGACCCCCGCAATGTTTATTCAAAGACTAAAATTACATCATAAGACATATACATACAAAAATAAGTGACAGCATAGTAGCTGTTATTTTCAACGTAATAATTATTTGTGTATTTTTATCTTCCATATATTATTATAATATTATGTTTGTATACAAGCAGAATCTCTCAAGTGTTTCAAGAGTTTGCGGACGATCGCCATGACCACTAACGGGTTGACCCTGACGAAAACCTTGGTGCACTTACAGCGGGCTGGCTTAAATGCTCTGAACGTAAGTATGGACACTCTGCAACCGGCCAAATACGAAAAGATCACCAGACGCGATGGTCGGCTACTCAAACGGGTGTTGGCCGGAATCGATTTGGCCTTGCAGCTCGGTTTCAGCCCGGTCAAGGTGCGTATACACGTCCACAATATATTATTTAGCATAACAATTGTTAATACCGGTAATGGTGTGTATGTTTACAATAGGGTGGTTCTTATTTTAACTTGTTTTGTATTCTTTGTACCTGGCATCAACCACCTGTTATGTAACAGAAATATTAAAATCAACGATTAAAATTAAAATTTTGTTTGTATATAACTCTATCGGAACCTATATAAAAGATTTAGAAGTATTTCGCCGTTCTCGTGATTTAAACATAAAAATAACGAGGTACACGCTTTAACATGAATAATATAAAAAATCTATTTTTATAATAAATTCTACTATTTTAAATAGAAATAAAAATTAAATAATTCTAACTTAACATTTTTAATTACCTCAAAGTACCCAAGAGGAATTATTCAAACAACTTATGCTGAGACTTGACATTTGTCAAGGTTTTCGACATAAATAACTATAAAATACGAAAATAACATTGAAATCCTAAAGGAGGAGGGGGAAACCATACAAAAAATAATAAGTTTAGGACGAATTTATTGGAGCTAAGTATTTTTCTCCAATTAAGAAATACTAGTTAGAATCACATCATGTTTATTTTTATTTAAAATAATAGGATTTATTATAAAAATAGATTTTATTAATACCTTATTTTTTTAATCATGATATCAACAAAATATTCTTTTTGCCCTTTATATAGGTTCTAATAAAATTATATTAAACAGCGTTTTAATTTAAATCGATGATTTTAATATTATTGATAAAAATACTATTAAAGCAGGTTAACACTATGATTAGTGTTTTAGATTTTCTTTTTATTAGATTAATCTAAGACATGGAAAATAAACAGTTAGGCACACATCCTAAATAATTGTAAGCAAGACAAATTCAAACGATCTTGTGAGATAATGTTTGTATCGTTACCTTGTGAGTTATTGATTTTTTTATCAGTTAGATAAATAAGTTAGGCAATTAATTAATAAAAAAAAATCTATATATAGAGTAAAAATATAAGACTCCCCAAAAAAGGAACTGTTTTATAGAAAATTATGAAGAGTTCTTAAGACACAAAGCCAGTATTATAGTCATCAGTCTACATAGGACATGGCTGTAGGCTTAAATATTATTCTTAATTTTTCAGGTCAACTGTGTGTTGATGCGAGATTTCAATGCCAACGAACTTTGTGACTTCGTGGAAGCCACTCGGCACCGTGACGTTCATTTTAGGTTTATCGAGTTTATGCCATTCTCTAAAAACGACTGGGACGAACGACAATTGGTCCCGTACAAAGAAGCCATCCGGGAAATCAGCAAGTCTTATCCAAATTTCGGACCTTGCGATCACGACGACCCTAATTCGACTTCAAAGGTTTCCCCTCTTTCCAATTTACACCTTATTGTGTTATCTAAGTTTTGAATATAATATAGAGGATTGAAAGATCTCTTACATTTTCTTTGCAGATGTACCGGGTGCCGGATTTTGCGGGCAAAGTGGGTTTTATATCTTCGATGACGAGCGACTACTGCGACAGCTGCAACCGTCTAAGACTGATGGCCGACGGCAACCTGAAATCGTGTCTGTTCCAAAACGATGAAATCAATCTCAGGTAAATTGCACGCCTACATTATTGTAGGTTTATTGTTTACAAGTTTGTTGTTTTTAGAGATCCACTCCGCAGAGGAGCGCCGGAAGAGGAACTGCTGAATATCATATCGGATGCAGTAAAAGCTAAAAAACGAAAACACGCTGGTAAACATATTTTTATAAAATACAAAATTTCTTTAAAAATGTCTTTTATCGACAATTCCATCACGAGCCCGATCCGAAAAAGTAGACATATTGTATCAGAATTTTTTATCGACAATCCCTATGTCCGCCAACCTATGAATAAAATCCAAAACAAATAAAATAGTTATTAAAAAAAAAAAATGCAAATATGTTTTTAGGAATGAAAAACCTTCCAAATATGCCCAATCGCCCGATGATTTTGATTGGTGGATAGGTAAGTCCACTTAAACAATACATAGTGTAATGTAACTCAGCATAACATTTATTTTATTATAGAATAACTTAAGAAATACTTTCAGAAACTTTTCTTAACAAATTATAATTGTAATACCGTGTATTTTGTTTTTTGACGCAAGTAGGGTAACATGAGTGTAATCTAAGTCTAGTCTAATAAACTAATTTTTGGCATAATAACTGTATTACAATCGTACAATAATTATATGATAGGCGTCGTCTGTTAGACTATATACAGAAATGCGTTACATAAACAAACGAAGGCGTCGATTAAATTGTCGGATACTCGTCATGAGCGTTGCTATATTGTCTATACTCGACGCCGTCTTATAAAACGATCGCCTAAAATACCATCATTGGCGTAACCACTTAATAGCAATCCAGTTGGGTGGGCTGCTATGTTTTAGTCCCAACTCCTGTTAACAGATTTCATTAGCTGCATAGTATATAAACCATGACCTAAGAAACTTATTTATCAAGTAAATAGAACAAAACCTAGGATAAAAATATTAAGGGGCTAAACGTAGGCTACACAAATACATTTGACATTTTTAATGAACAGAGGTCTCAATGCCCCAATTTTTTTTCATCAAGAGAACAATTTAGATTCAGACTCAACTGTACCCTATTTACAATACTTTTACCCCATAGACAACTCTAGGGCCTGCATATCTTAACCAGGCCATCCTGTGATAATTATTTTTTATTGTTATTTTTTATCAGCAAATGGCTTATCGTCGGTCAACACTCGGACTACTCGGACGAACAACAAGATTAGATCACTACTATCAAGACCAGATGATCCGGGCTGGAACACCGTCATCATTCGTCGATGCCACGAACTCACCCACGTTGACCCCGAGTCCGGCAAGGCTCGCATGGTGGACGTGACCGGTAAGCCGGCCACTCGTCGCACGGCCACGGCCACGGCCTTAGTAAAACTAAACCGGACAGCCGTTGAGTTGATACAAGAAAATACGATGAAAAAAGGGGACGTGCTGGCCGTGGCGCAGCTGGCGGGTATTTGTGCGGCCAAGAAGACATGGGATTTGATACCGCTGTGCCATCAGGTCCGGTTGGACGGAGTATCGGTTGTCGTCCGGTTGGACCGTGAGGAGTCGGCGGTCACCGTGACCGCGACCGCCGTTACCGAAGACCGGACCGGCGTGGAAATGGAAGCACTGACTGCTTGCACAGTGGCTGCCCTAACCGTGTACGACATGTGTAAAGCTGTCAGCAAGCACACGGTGATCGAAAGCGTCCGGTTGGTGTCCAAAACTAAGGAATGTTCGAAGACGTCGTAAAATCGAAAATATTACAATAACAGAAAGTACAACTTAATGATTTTATAATATATGTTAATATGATAATTATGGTTTTTATCCAAAATTACAAATAGTTACTTAAAATGGTCATTAAAATCATATCTGTACCTGAATTCCAATTTCATTCTCTGGAACTTTTAAAAACAAGCCTTACGTAAGGCTGCGTTAAAATGTTTAAAAATGTTCTAAAGTTTGTATTTAGTAACACATTATAAAGCAACATTTTGTCGTACGATATAATCAAACCAGTAAAAACTATTTATTTGTATAATAATATTAAAATAAGGTTAAGCAGCCTACGCGCAACCTGTTTCGACACTCTCGGCGGCCTTAAAGCAACAAGACGTACTTCCTGAGCGCATTGTGGCTTAGGCGATTTCATTGATGGATAAGTGAAAGCAGCCCATCCAAACTTAACTATTTCAAAAATATTTGAACCGATATTAATTTTGAGTAAAAATAATATCAATTCGGATTCAATAGAACAATTTGTAATTGAAACAATTAACAATGCAAATAAAAAATACTGTAATAAGACTAGAGAAAATGTTTTAGTATAAAGGTTGAAACAAACCGTTGCTTGGATTTACCCCGTGACAAAGATAAATCTGACAAATAAAACTTTTAACTTTTACCAAAATAACGTGAAAAATAAAAAATAATTTTATAATTAATCGTTTATTATTTGATTGCTTATCTTTTTTTTTGTTATTAATTATTTATTTAAAATGATTAGTTATTTACTAAGGGGGTAGCATTTATTAAGATTTAAGGCGCATTGTCAATTAAAACCTTTATTTCAATGAAACAACATTAAGCTACAATTTGTAAGATCATATTTTAACACATTAAGTACCTGTTTTGATATTTCATTTTTTTTTCAACCTGTATAACGCATATAGGCTCTATTTTTTGTATAAATACATATGTTTCACCTTCTTACAGTACGTTTCAAAACAATTATTTTTTACAAAAAAAATACTAAAGTTTAGAACAAACATTTGAATTCTTTATAATATTTATTCATGCAGCGGGAGGTGGAGTACGGTAGAGACATAAAGTAAAGCGTGCAGCTAAACATTATATCCTACCTCCCGTCCACGTACTTGAACTTGGCCGACTAACGTTTTTGACTATATCGAAAATACTATCAAAAGTTTGCAATTAAATATTACACAAGAGATGACCAATTTTATAAAAGGTAGGCCAACTTCATGTAGCCCGGTAACTTGCTCCAATCTACTCCGGGCTAGTGCCAATCGGTTCGTCTCGGTTTGCAACTATTTGCAAATCCAACCTCACAATTTGCAGTTTATATAAAAAAAAATTTCTTTCCAGGGCAAAGAAATTAAACTAATTAATAATATAATAATTAAAATACAGAAAAATAAATAAAACGTTGAAAAAAAAAATTATTATGATATGATTGTTATCTCTTAGGTAATTATATTTAAAATGTTTTATAAGCGATTATTTTACACATAATAGTTTGATATTTAACAATCATAATTATTTTGGAATTCAAACAACGGATACTAGTAAATCCTAAGATTTTATTTAAAATGGAAACGTCTTGTAATTAGTTATTTATTAAGGAGCCTAATTTAATTTGAATAAAAATTCATGTGTAAGATAATTTTAAATAAAAATTTTTTTTACACAATATCTTAATTCATTTTTTTTTTACCTAAAAACTAACCGCCGCTAATGACAGTTAAATTTACTAACAAAACGGCAGTATCCAAGATCGGTGTCACATTCTGAAAATTTTAATGCTTACTAAAATGTGTATATTAAAAAATGTTCATCTTTATTTGTGTATAATTTCATAACACAAGTTCTTATATTAATACATTTTTGATAATTAATTCACAAAGTTTATTATTTTCCATTTTTTTTATTTTGATTAAATTTATTTAAAAATATTTGTTTGTTTGTATAATATTTTGTTCTTTGTGTTATTTTTTGTTTTCAATTCATAATTTAACATTGTACTACAATGTTAAAAAAAAATTGTTCAAATTGTTATGGTTTGTGTTACGTTTATATTAGATATAATAATTAATATTATAAATTATAATCTTATAATTAATAAAATGTAATTTTCTGTCTGCCCAACTAGTCTTATTATTATTTCTAAAACTTTTAATTAAAAAAAAAACACATGTTAAATGTTTCTGAAAATTCAAGAAGTTTGAGATAGAAATAAGCGAACGGGAAACAATAAGAAAACATAATAAAAAATAATATCGTAGATTGTTTGTATAATGTATAATAAATTATAATGGTGCTTCATCTACACAAATGGATTAGATATGAATACTAAGGTAGTTTGCTTAATTTAAATTTGATTTATCCAAAAGCCTAGTCGAAAAAACTATATAATGACCTATATAAGTATTAAAAAGTGAAATATGGGGGCAGACGCCTCAACGAAGCACACTATTCTTTTATGTAGCGAAATTGCCTATGCTCTACGCCGTTTTTAAACATACAAAAAAGTGTTCGACGACATTTTGAAAACATTTACAATTTTTTGCTATATAAGTGAAAATATTAAATTATGATATTTTTCTTTACTGTATTAAAATTTTCAACATTTGATATTAAAATAAAAAATTCTTTTTCAAACTCATTTAGCTAAGATAGGTAATTATACTTCAAATCGAATTCATCGGTGCATATTTTTTGGGGTTTTATTGACGATACTGTTATTAGTAGGCTAATAATTCAATGCAAAAAAAAAAATATTAACTTCATATTAATAAGTATATAGGTAATACAATTATTTATAGTTTTAATTGCCGAGCAGAATGAAGATGACACAAATTCTTATATTACTAATTATGATGATGTAAGTTATTATTTAAGTATTTATTAAATTAATTTAATTAAATTATCTCCAAATTGATGTAATTTTATGACCTTTAATTATATCTATCCTATGTTATTAAATTGTTTTGAACCTTAACCCATTATTTCTATTATTTACAGTAGGTCAATGTCTATAATAGTGTAATAACATTTATAACTTTTTATGGTCTTGTTAGACCGATCGTATTCCAGTTCATTTTGATTCAGCAATTTCTAAAATATAGAAAATGAAGGCTGGAAATTATTGATATGTTTATAAACTGAATTATAATTTTTTAATATTCAATTTTTATTTCTGTTTAAACTTGTTGAACCAGTTTTAAAGAAAATGTACGTTGATAACCGTAAAGAAAATTATGTTATAGATTTAACACAAGTTAGTGAAACTTAAATGATAACGTATACATTTAATTAATTATTTAAATCGGGAATAATTTTATGAAAATGTTGTCTGGTCGATTACTCAACTATACTGCACCTCCCATCCTAAATTTTAAAACTCTAATAACTTCAATAGTACTGACTAAAAACTGGTTATTTACTAGACAACTTTTTAGTAAATTATTCTCAATATAAATAACTAACAAAATGTATACATTACCATTTAAATTTCAAAAGTTACCTTTCTAAATCTGGCTTCTGACTGAAAAAAATACATTAACTTGAATCTATTATAGTATGTTAAAAACCAAAAATGTTTTACATAGGTAACATTTTTTCAAAATTTGAGCATATCATAAAAATATCAAGTATAGGGCGAAATTCTGATAGTTCTGTACATGTACGAGTATAATATATATAATTTTACGTTTCATAGAAACGTTTGGAATAACAAAATAAGAGCTAATTAAAGAGCTTTTATTTATAATTATTTCTACTATTTTGATTACTGTGGTCGTTTTTACTAGGGCAATTATTTATTAACGTTATAGTCACATATTGTCCTAGAAGGAGTACACAGAATTATTTGGGATGTTTTGGATGACTAGCAGGAAGTAGCGCAGCTCTGAATAAGCGCCTACGGACTCTAGTCACCGAGGAGAAGCGCAACTTTGAAAACGTGACTCTGTATTTTAAGAAGGACGGCCTTCGATGTGCGAAATCGATCGAGTAGCAAACGTGTGAGCTGTCGGCACTTATGCTGCGGTTGCCACTTCTGCCTCAGGTTCACACTGCTGCTGGGGCCGCTGTGGTTTACATGCTAGTGTCGCTTGCTACTGCTGGTAGACGCTGGCGGTTGATAGTGTAGTTTTCGGCTTCCAACTTCTGATCCAGCTTAAGAAGATACCGGATGGTTGACAGAAGACTGTATCTGATTATGCGATTGCTGTCGGTGAATTTTATGATGTTTTCGTAAAAACCCGCAATCCCATTGGCCAATGTTTGAAGTGTGTTGTTCCGGTAGTTATAGCGAAAATACTATTCGTACGCTAGATAACGTTTATGCCTATGAAATTGTCCGTAATGTAATAGTTGTGTTTCACCGTTACATATTACATTTAATTTGATTGTTTGGAGTTCCCTCAAGGCTCAACAAGAATATGTTTAATTAGGATGGATACGATTAGGGTTTATCGTCTGTCTATGATATTTTACAATATTGTCTATAACAATCCCCATTGTATTAAAAATACAACGAAAATATTTTCAAAAACCTGTGCATTGATAATTCACACACAAGATAGCAACCTAGATATTGACTGCGGTCAAAGTGTAATTTTTGTTTAGGCCCGGGCCTACCTACTGGCTACGCCCCTGATTATGAGCAATAATCATGATCATGAAATTACTCTCCTTTTTAAAAAAACAAACAACAGTTTTAACAATTTGATCTTCAGGAATACTATGGCCAATTGTTACATTGGTGTTGCTTTTTTATATTATATTTAGTTTAAGATAATTTTTTTTTAGCTTCGATGTAAAGGTGAAAAAGTATTGATTTTACAATGATGTGTTTCCCCTGTTATTTTTTGTACACAAAAATGTAATTACACAGTTATTTAATGTCTTTTAAAATAATTCATATTCAATTGCTTTTACGACCTCCAGTTTCGCATCGAAGCGTGTATTTGAAAGTGATAAATGTATCAGTTATAATAGTTTCCAAAAAAACCTCACAAACTCTATTAATCTGGTTTTTTTTTAATATCCATTTTTGTAAACACACTTCATTATGCCCATTCCTTTGAGCACTTAATTATAATGTTCTTTTATTAATAATATCTACCGCCCTCTTCAAATAAGCAGACCTTGCAAGTTGCAGGTAGACATTTGTTTTGCAGTGTTGTGGCAACCAAACCCGATATTTTTAGTACAGAATTTGACGTCCGATACCATATGTCACGTACAACGACCAATAGTAGAAATAATAATACGCTTTGTGTGTTATAATAAAATTGCATCTAGACATATTATTTAATACAAGTTTCATAAAAAAAACATAATACATAATAATATGATATATATATATATATATATATATATTTAAACATCTTTTTTTTGTTCTGTGATATTTTAAAAATTGAATAGACAAATAACAAGAAATGAGAAAACAAGGTTCTATTTACATTAAATTGTCTTACTACTACAATTGTGTTTTACTCGTTTCCGAGTTTTATTGGTTGGCATCTTTGCTAATACCTACAGCAGCTGCTCTGATGACACGATTGTGTAACTTGTATCCAATTTGTAACACTACAACAACTAACCCTCCTTTTTTACCTTCAACTACCTAAGAAATTATAATTTTGAAAAATAAATACATGTTTTATTAATTTATTGTATTGTTAAAAATGATTACTTGTTCAAATAGAGCTTTATGTTCATTAGGATAAAATTCTTCATTTAATGGATTAACTGATACTAGTCCATGTCTTTGAAAAATCTGAAAAAACCAAATACCAATCATAATATATTCTAGAACATTGTACTATCTGAACTATAATATTATCAAATAAAAACTGATGCTTGACTATGTATGTCGACTATTTTTCAACTTTCTTGGATGCTCATCTTTTAAAATCTTAAATAGGGTGTATTTAAGGTAACTCGATTAACGCAAATAACTAACCAGGCTACATATTTGCCTAAGTTAAAAAGACTCGTCTTTGAACAACTGTTTTTATATAGAAATATTGTGAACAAATACAGTTGTTGTTAATTTAATTTTGGAAGTTCAATAGAGGAAAGTTCTTGCAAAAAATAGCCATAAATTATATTATTCTATATTTGTACTAGAATCTAATGATCAAACGCAGTAGCTCTAGCGCACCCAGTTAAAACGCCTATCAAATGCTCCACATTTTGTTCACTAACATTTTTAAGAGTGGTTGTAATAAATTAAAAGAGAGGAAGAAGTAATTAACTTGTATGAACACCAAAAATATACTAACCGTTTGTAGCTGGGATTCTGTTGATACTAGGCCTTCGTACAAATGTTTTAAATGTGGATTTCTATCGGAGACTTCTTCTTTTGGTACTAGTTCAATAGCTTTCCCCAAACTATCAGCAACCTACACAATTTTTATTGATAAAAATATGAATATAGGCACACATTTTATACCTTACATCAAGTAGATCTTTACAAAATCCTTGAATAGCGTAGATCTTGGCATCTGCTATTTGTTTTACACCTTGCTTACGTGTATTTTCCATTTCAGCTAATGATCTTATGAATTTGTCCTGAGTAAAAATTAATAGTGTACATTTAAATTACAATACTGTCTTAAACTATTGTGATGGGTATTGTTAGACTAGGTATCAAATTATTCAAAATTAGAAAATCATTATCTATTACAATGATTAAAATTATTATATTTATACTCAAATATTTAATTTTCAAAATATTTGTTCATAATATTAATTTTGTTAAACTAAATTTAAGTAAATAAGTACTTAATTTGTACCCTAAATGTTTATCTTGATTTTAAAATAAACAAAAGAATATTACAAACCTTAAGAACTTGATTTTCTTCTAATAACTGTTCATTTTGTTTAACTATATCTTCAACAGATTTTTCATCGCTTTTCTTTGTATAATTATTAGTATCGTCTGATACTTTGCAACGAACTATGTTATGACCTAACACTGAAGTTACCCTAAATAAATTTAAAAAATTGCAAAAAAAAGATTTAAGGTATGTAGCTTAAACAACAAATTATAATAATGTTGAAAAATACTCAAATTACCAAGCTTACAAAAAAATAATCCGAACATAAGACTATATTCTTAATATCTCACCTGATTTCTGATGCCAAAACATTACTATATAATGATTTACCGACTTTAAAAGACTTCATAAAAAAAGTCATTGTGAAATATTCTTATGAGCAAGTACCGTTAGTCCGTAGTCGCAAAAATCTGATGAATATATAACTCGTACTCCGTGCTGTAGCCGGGCAGCCGTGTGGTTTTGGCTTCAGTTTCACAATTTAATGTGAGATTAATTGAATGTTATCTATAGCAATAACCCGGTAGGTCATGGTTACTTAAACATACCGTGATTACAACGGCCAATCACAAGACGATATAAGATGCTGTGCTGTGTCGTGTAAAATACTTTTCTCTGATTGGCTGAACCACGCGGTTCCATTAAGGTTACAATATGGTACATCGTCGTTGCCGCAAAAAAATCTCCTATGTGCCAATTTTACGATTTTGAGGTTTTGGTATTCTTGGATACAGAAAAAAATAAACTAGGTATCATATTATGATGAAATCTCCAACGTCCTATCGCCATTGTAGATTATATTAAAAATAATACCTGTTATGTATTACCTACTATAAATCATTTTAGACGTTTTAGTGTCACCTGAACATATAGGTTTTAACACATGGGAGATTTTTTCGCGCAACGACGATATATAATTAAACTATTTTCCTAAATACATTCAATTTATTTTTTTGGTAAAACTGTAGACAATTTTGTGCTTTAATGCATGCATACTTACCTTTAATTTTTTAATTTTCTTTATAAACATTAATTTACTTATTTCATTGGGGAAATTCTATAATGACTGTTATGTTTTTGTAACAGAATCTGTGAAGAATCATGTTTACCCTCAAAGTATAAAAATAGTATTTTCATAAATTTATTGATAACCAGCTTTAGTTTTACTGTATATTTAATATTTACAAACCATCAAGTTGTAGGAATTTTCAAAGAAGATATGATCAATCGCATTACTTCAGTAGAAGTAAGCAGACAACTTTGGAATCATAAAATATAATTAGGAGAAAGATCAGAAAATATAAAAAATAATTTATTGAACAAAATATTTCTCCAATTTGATAGTATGAAAATCTGTTTAATCATATGCTATTATTAAAAATTTATGATAAATTGTCCTAATATTGAGGCAAATATTCTATTCAAGGATGAAAAAAGAGGTGGAAGTATCTTATATAAAGATACACTAGGGGAAAGAGCAAGTGGTGCTGCAGGAGGTAAAAAAGAATGGTCATATTTAAACAATTTAAGATTCTTAGAAGAGGTTTTGGTGGTTGAAAAATGGTAAAATAATTTTAATTACTTAGAAATACAAACATATTATATTCCAGTTTTATTATAAACAAATTGTTGCATAGTACCGTTGATAACTTGAAACCTAAATGTATAGAAAATACTTTGAATGAAAAACAAGATATAAAGTCCATAATAAGTATATATTTGCAATATGAAATTGCAAGTTTATTGAATAATATGTATAATAATTGATTTGACGCTGTTTTAAGGACTGTAGAGCAATTGGGAGAGGGGAGAAGTTTGGCGTTTTTCACGAAAAAAAAACTCTAGAGAAATAGGACGTCAATTGCAAATTATAACGATTAATTTGACACCATTTTGAAATCTTTAAAACAATCTGGATGGTCTAATATTACTTAATAAAAAACAATCTCATAACAATTTTTTTTTCCTGTATTTTAATTATTATATTATTAATTAATTTGATTTCTCAACTATTGGAAGACATTTGTTTTGTATATGATTTCGTTTTTTTGTTATAAGAAGATCAATGTTTGATTTATTGAATTAATAACTTATATGTGACAATGGAGTAATAAAGTTTATTGTAACAGGTTACTCATATAACAATACTTTTTTATTAAATTTTGTTTTAAAAACATTTTTAGGTTTTTATGAATATTTTAATTTATATATTCTTAAATAATATAGTATAGTGACTTTTTTCTCTTGAAAGACATTTATTTTATATATACTGCAAATTGCAGGATTGGACTTGCAAATAGTTGAAACTAAGACTGACCGATTGGCACCCGTCTGGATCGATCGAAGCAAGTTACCGAGCTACATGATGTTCGCCTATCTTTCATAAAATTTGTCTTATCTTGTGTAATATTTACTTGCAAATTTTGATAGTATTTTTGATAAGATCAAACAATGTTAGTAGGCAAAGTAAGACAAATTTATTTTATACCGGTAGTAGCCGAGCCGCTGAATAACCCCAACAATAGAAAACTACACTTGTTAGGTATTCAATTTTCTTTATTATACATTATTATTGCTGTACATATTTTGTTGAGTTATTTTTGTCCTTCCGCTATGTTGCACCGGCCTCTTACATAAACAGCATGTTAGAGGTCTTAAGACATTCACCCTTAAAATCGGAAAATCCCCCAAAAAGATATATATAAATATATTTTTTTTGTAAACAGTTCTTTAATTTATTAATTATAATTAATATTAATACCTACATTTTTAATTTCATTTTTGAGCTACAACAAAATGTGGTATTTTATAGTGAACTTGATATCTTCTAGCTTTTGGTTTTGGCCTTAATAAGTTCAAAGCTAAAATAGCGTTTGAAATCTATAATTATAAATATACCATTTAAACTAATTTAATCAATTTGTGATTTAATTTGTTATCTTACTTGTAAGACTGAACAAAACTGTGTAGTAAGAATGACTGGATCCAATAACCGTGCTTCCAAAATTTTCACAATATCATAACAACCATCATGGGGTATTTTTTGACATTGTTGTCCATATTGAGGACATACAATATCATAACAAGAATCGGGCACTTTTATTTTTTTTGCAATGTAGCTATTGACTCCATACAGACCACAACAAGAAAACTGAAATACAATTTTAACTATTATACAATGTTGCATCTTATATATTTTAAACACGAATTATATAAACCTCTCAAAAGCCGAATTATCAAATAAATACTAATAGTGTGTACCTACTTGACATTTAGTAATCGGATAAATGTTTGAATAAGTGTGAATGTCAACAAAAATTTGTTTTAAACTTTCTTTCAAATAAACAAAGACTTGCACATTTTAAAACATTAAAATCAAGCACCTTTCATGACAATAAATCAATGGCGGTTGGTGCCAGTAAGACTGTGTAACCGATAATTCGATGTAGGTACGCACATTTATATTAACGATCGTTTGCTCGAGAGTCGAGTATAAAATTACCAACTAATACCTGTACAAAATAACCTATTTGCGCAAATATAACAGATAAAACTAAACGTGTAAAACTAGAAATTGTCTTTTTTTTTTAGTTTTAATCAAGTCAGAGTATTCTGCACTTTGATATCATTATCAGATGTGCACAAATAAATACATATTTAACTGAATATATAATAAACATCATATCGTTATCATTTGTTAATCGGTTTTATTAACAACCAATTACAAACGTTAGATTTCTTACTTCAATTTGAAAGTCATTCCACCTTTTTGTAATATCTGCTTCGTGGCTATAACTAAAAAAACTAGCTTTCATTTCCTTTTTAACTAACATTTGTTGATCAACTTTTCTGTTTATGGAAATTATTCCAAGGCAAAATTGTAAAAATCCGCCAAAAAGCATACCATAACACATCTGGCCAAACAAATAATAATAATATACCGAGGGTTTACAAAATATTAATTAACTCTAATTAAAAACTGTTTCGCTAAACTTTCTTAGTATCAAATAGATATTATATTGTAATGAACGTACACAATAACACAGGTTTTTTTTAGTATTCACAGAATAAATTATTCCACATATACAAGACAATAGCATAATGATTCCACTATACACAGTAAAAACAATTTGTTTGTTTGTCTCCAGATTGAGAAATGTTCTAGTGATGTCTATATTCGTTAAGTAATTATCGGACACAACCATCAACACCAGCGCCCAAATCTGTTTGGTTCATTTCAATAGAAAAATACAATTTTGTAGACTAAAATTTTAGTTTCTCCTTAATTCAGTAGGTGCTCGTGTAATGCGGTGTATTTGCATAGTTACCGCGAGAATAATGTTTGTGTAAAACATTACAGACTGTTCCGTACGTAGGAACGCTTTGAAACGTTTCCAACTGGTATCAGTATTTGTCCTAAATAAGTATCTACTCTCAACGGTCGATAGTGAACTAAATCCTTCATATAACGTCGATGAAATTCGAACAGCTGGCACAATTTCGTAGTTAAACTCAGTTGCGTCAGACAATCCTTTTTCGCGAAACCGCCTGTCATGTTCGGCCTCTTCTAAAGGATGCAAGCTTGTTCTTACTTGTCTCGAAACCGATGTCGACGAATGCGATTTTAAATCTGAAATAAAACATAGATAGAATTTTAAATAATAATATTGATTTAACAGATATATATGTATATATATATATATAAATAGATAATCGATAGATAGATATGCAATGGTTTGACAAATAATACTTTCGCAGAAGTCACGTGCTGGATTTTTTATATAGGGGAAGTTGACTACATTCTCCGTGGCGCCTAATTGTTATTCAGTTATTAGAAAATTGATTAGGTTAATAATAAAAACTATACAACCGCTACCAAATCATTGATAAATAACTTCCTCGAAATCGAATTCTACTGATATTAGAAATTAAATCTCTATAAAATTAAAAGAAAATAGTTTGGCAGAATAACCCATTAAAGCTTTTCTCAAAGTCAAGAAGTTTAAGGTAAGGTCTACTGATAACACTAAAAATAGGCATTCATTTTTAACACGCTTATATTAGCTTCACTTGTATGTTTGTATGTAACTATGTAACTAATAAAAGAGATAGGCAACTGAACGTACATGCATGTATTCATTGTTGTTTACCTGAAGTTTTCAAGTAATAGAGACACGTATGTACTAGAATTAAAAAAACACGATTTTAAAGCACATCGAACTAAAAAGTGGAAAATAAAAAAAATATAGTTTAAAAAAACTAAAAAACACGCTTAAATAGTAAAATAAACTAAAAAGTAGAAAATAATTTTCAATATAGAAATCAATTAATAAAAAATAAATAGTATTATTGTGAAAAAAGCGTGGGGTGCTACATATATCAGTTCTTGA